GCAGTGTTCCTCCCCATTGTTAGACAGATGTATTTGCGTTCACACAGTTCAGGTTGTATTCTGCAAAAAGGACGTGTGAGTGGCTAGGTTTTTTTTTCTCATTGCACACTGCATGGTGTTAATTGGCAGCAGAAAACTAATTCACAAAGCGTGCCGTCCAGAATCTAGCTCAGCTGGCTTTGTGAATGAATGGAATTGTTCGTGTATATATATATATATATATATATGATGTTCGAGGATTTTGAATAGACATTAGAAACAAGCTGATATGTTATAACATAATATAACTTGATGGTGGATGCAAGTATCATGTTTTAGCTATTTTACTCGATGATTTATGAGCAAATTCAAGATTCTACCATCAAGTATTGGATAGTGTTTCATGAGATACCTGAATATATGTAATTATTATTTTCGAGAAGTTTGAATATAGCGTATAAACCAGCTGGTATAGAATACAGTTGAATGGAAGTATTTGGTATCATAGTTTAGCTATTTTACTGGGTGTTTTATGAGCCAATTCAATATTCAACCATCAACTATATTCAGGGGATAATTATGTAATTATTATTTTCGAGAAGTTTGACTGAATATAATATAAAATAGCTGATGTAAAATACAGACTTCAGTTGACGGTTCGATGAATGAAGGTATTTGATACAAGCTGTTTATTAGATGTTTTATGAGCCAGTCCTAGAATCTACAACTAAGGATTGACTGGTATAGTTTTTTTGGAACATATAATTGATATATAGACGATATAGCAGATATAGAATACAGAATATATTTGGGGGATTGCTGTTATGTTTTAAGGAATATGTATTATTTTTCGAGGATTGTAACTGAATATACAGTGTAAACCAGCTGTTTTTGACTAGAGACGTTACTTGATGCTATTTACTGGATGGTTTATGACCAACACAGATTGATTATACAGTAATTAAGTATTTAACTATATGGACAGTTATTGCAGAAAACGTGTTATCTATATGATATACGAATTAGGAATTGTCTGCTGTTTGGATATGTACGAAAAGTACTGGAAATTGTAGAAGTAAAGGAAAGGAGACGTTCTGTGACTACAATTGTAAAAGTGGGCCGGTCAGTGGTTTCCTATTCTGACCATCAAAAGCCGAGAAATTTACCAAGTTTACTAGCTTACTTGATGGCATATAGACCCATCAAAACGCAAACTTTCATAAAGAATTGACGGTCTTGATGAGTGAAAGGACTAAATCTTTCAAGAAGTTGTTGTAGGCTAAAGTTTTTGTGGAATATTGTTATAATTATCAGGTAGGTTTTAGAATCCTCAGAAGTTTGGAGGATTTAGCTAAATTTCATTGATGCCTCTTACTGACTACTGAAAGATGTCTTGCAGTCTTTAGTTAAGCCATAAGTTAAATGTGCCATGTTTTCATTTCTTGGTTATTCGGAAATCGAAGAGTAGGGTAGACTAATAAATGCGACTCTTTTGCGAAAATTTACCTACCAACAACAGTGGCATTTCAAAAACATGTATTTATTTTAAAACATCAATGCTGGTCGACTAGTCAAGTACTTGTAGTTGTTTACGATGAGAGACTAGTCAAGTAGATGTTTAATGTAGAAAATCTGGGTTTTAAAGAATGTCTGTATATAAGAAGGTATACATGTATAAGAGAGTTGAAGAAATAAGATGTTGCATTCTACTTTTCTGCGCCTGATTTGGCTGATCGAGACAAGCATCATATGCAGTGAGCAAAAAGCGAAATTTGGGTAACTCGATGACATTTACCTACACTTGGTTATCTTCTATTTTCAGTTGTCGAAGGTTGGGAATCAAAAAAGAAGTCTTTATTAGCCCAATTAGGTGCAGAAAAGTAGGACGTAAAACTCCGTTCATTTCATTTTCTTTCAAACTGCCTAGGGATCTTCAATATGCACAGCCTGTAGAGCCACGGTTTATTGTTCCACACTGGCTCTAGAGGAGTTTTTAGTCCCACGCATCAGACTAGATAGTCTGTGAATGACTTTCTATTCTGAGTAGCTGTGAACTCTTACCTTGTCAGCAAATGATAATATTTTGTACTTTACAACATTCCTTTACAACATTTTTATATGCACTGTTATAGATGTTCTAGTGCTCAAAGCTTATAAACAATCTAACCACCGTAAGCTGACATTGGTCCAATGCACAATTCTCTGTATCTATGAGCATCCATGTTAGATTATCTGGGGACGTGGATCGAAGCTTATTTTTGTATAATGGAATATGGAGTGAATGCATTCATGTATTTCATTGTCTTTTCAATAGTTGTCTGTGGAAGTGAATGCATTTTGCGATGCCCCCGGCTGCCTTTCTTTAAATATCTGGGACTATTTTTTAAATCATTCAAGTTCCAAACACATCTTTCTTTTGTCATTTGTAATAGTTTATCGTGTTACATTCTTGTTTTTTGCTAGACAAGACAGTCTAGAGCAATGATGGCTGCACGACAGTGCAGATCAATGGCGGCTCACTGCTATCGTGTCACAATCTGTTTTTTTAGCTGGACACGATAGTTTAGAGCAATGATGGCTTACTGATATCTTGTCACAATCTGTTTAGATAAATGGTGACTCACTGCTATCTTGTTACAATCTGTTAGATTGCTAGCTGGACTCGATAGTTTAGAGCAATGGTGACTCACTACTATCTTGTCAAAATTTGCTAGCTGACTGGACACGATCGTTTAGAGTAATGGGGACTCACTACTATTGTGTCACAATATTGCTAGTTGGACTCAATAGTTTAGATCAATGGTGGCTCATTGCTATCTAAACAAAATCTACTAGCAAAGTGGACACGATCGTTTAGAGCAATGGTGGCTCATTGCTATCTTAACAAAATCTACCTACTAGTTGGACACGATATTTCGTAAGGCATATTGAACATTGTAGTGGGATGTTTTGATGTGTTCACCTTGATTTGTATATGTACGGTTTGATCTGGTAATTACAACAATAGCTGTTTTGATGGCTGGACTATTAGATATTAACCTTGTAATGGGTAACTTGAATCTTTTGCGTGGTCGCTTTGAAAATGTGAATAACAAATTCTTGTTGGCTATATCGCAAGTTTCTGTGGTCAGAATGAACAATTATTTCTTCGTATTATAGAGTTCCGGTCGGACTGACCGCTTCTAAGAGGTTTTGAGATTGAAGATTCAATATAAACTATGACGAGTGCGCCATTTTGGGGTGTTAGAGTCTTCAGTATATGTAAATGGTTATCAGAAGTACTAGAAATGTACAAAAATCTCACAATTTCTTCAAAAATATCTCACTATAGGATTTTTTTTCCCTATTTTTTAGATTTTCTATATATGTCTAAAGAAACGACGACTCGTCTTTTTAACTATCAAACGCCGATACTTCTGGACACACATGGATTGAAGGCCCAAATTTCGTCAGTGAGCTGTGAACACTATTTCTGATTGGATTAGTTAACCAATTTCGGACTCAAGTATGATTGGTAAAAAAATGTCCCTTTAAATATGAAACAAACCAGAAAACAGTTTAATTTCACTTAAACACCTGAACACGTGTTAACGCTAACACTACTTTCGTTTTCTAATTAACCTTTGACCTGCACAAGGTGTAATATTATAAACTCGAGTTGATTAGGTTCGCTGCCAAATGTTGGTAATTACTTTTTTCTCTCTCGTCAGTTTCTTTTCTCTCTGTTTCATTTGACGCCAGCCTTATTTCAGTATGCTACCTAACTTTGATGTCGGTCTGTTTGATCTTCATCCATCATCATCACTTTTTAATTTCTACCTTTATCTTCATCAATTGACCGAGCCTGGAAAAAATTTGAGACAAACATTTAAAACATCAAATAATCATTATACCTGTTTTTCTCCAGGCATGTTTCAGACGAAACGGATTTTTACGTCTTATTTTCTGCACGTAGACTATAAAGTGAGCTAGTAATTGGGCGGAAAACGCTATGCCAAAACAAACAACTCTGTTTTTCCATTTCCAGCTGCCAAAACGCGCACAGGGCCTTGGTTTATTGCCCAATCCGAACGACTAAACATTTTTTAAAGGTCAGCCCCTCGGACTTGCATCACTGATGGGGGGAAACCGGATTGGAAAATCTACAGGTATCATTAAAATTTTAAACTTACTTATATGCTATTATTTATAAGGTATTGGAACTTATAAACAGAAGGTTCTAACCTTAAGTCATGGTATGGTATTTGAACTGGATGAACAGAGAGCTCTAACTTTCGTATTGTTTATTAGTATTGCTGGTATAGTTTAGATTCATTGTACTTTTTTACGTCCGTGATTATCTATATTGGTTTGTTGGGGGTCTTGTGTTTGAACTAGAGGAACAGAAGTAAAAGTGATAATATCAACAGTAAACAGTAAAACTGAGCGGCCAGGTGTTTTATTCCCATCATCTTAACCTTTATTTACAGTTCAAATAGAAAACAATCAGCTGAAATCTCAAACCGGATGATATCAGGTGTCTTATATCAGTTTTCGTTATGTTATCATTCTTCTCGGTATATGAATTTCACACATTTTTACTTTCTGGAATGATAATAAAAATATGGAAGAGACCATTCCTTACCCTTTCGTGTTGGATTTGTGGGTCAAGGGTTTTGCCAATCGCCAGACCCCACCACTATTACCCGAATGTTAACGCCAATTCCGACGATATTATATCATCCCAGAATACTAACTATTTATAAAGTTACAATAACAAGTGTTTTTTTCGTGTTTACTGTCAGAAATGGTATTTATGTTACCATAGAAACTGTATCTTTGTCGTCATCAAAATATCTTACATAATAACTAACAATAATTCGAATTGTCTCACAATGTAGTCCGAATATGTCCGATGGTTTTTGTATATGTATAGCGTCTTGCTCCATACCAATAAAATGTTTGTGACCCTGAGATTCTGAGATTTTTTTTATATATTTCAGTAATGACGTAATACGAGACCAATGACAAACACTTCCGGCATGAAGGGACCAATACATATTGTTGTGTTGGGAAAGGAAGGAGTTGGTAAGACAGGTAAGTAGAAAGTTATATCAGATGATCTGGGATCGATAAAAATGGCATCCTTTAACCACCGCAATATGTCATAAGAGTGCTAGCTGAACTTTCTCGATGGACCGGTTGGAAAAATATTGGGGAGCTAGAATTTGACTCCATCGTTTGCTAAAAAGGTCAGGAAAAGATATGGTACTTATTCTAATCACTGAAAAGTCTTATTGTGCTTAAACCGACACACCTGCCTCTATTCCAACCTCTGATAGCTATTTTGAAAATTGGCTACTCCAGCCAATAACTGTCAAAAGAGGCTGATATAGAGGCAAATAGTTCGGACTATATTGTGCTAAGCACACTCTGCTAACTAGTTGAATACAATTATTGACATCGGTACTCTCTATTTGGTTTTTTACATCTTCAAAATCTTTCAAATATTAGAGGACTACGTGTGTTTCAGAAGAGCTGTGTAGGACTTAATTTTCGAATTTCTCAATTTTAATTTAGAAGAAGTTTTATTGCGTCATTAAAAACTCGATTGCAGCCAGAAATTATGAGGATTTTAAGTAGAAAACTGATAAAAGATAAGAATAAAAAAAAAGGCAATAAAAATTTCACCTGTTTTTTATCGACAAGGTGGAAGTAGAAATTACAGTTTGTAATAGAGTTGAAAATGAAGTAATAATTTTATCATTTAGATTTTTTCTAAATTTTACTTGTTATTAAATATGCAGTCTTGAAGTCTGTAGACCTCAATCTTGAACCTTTTTCAAAAAGGAAGAAAAGTAAGATGCCCTAGAAAAATGGTTTGTACCACTACTTCATTTCTAACAAAAATAAAAATATCATTTCTATACATTTTAGCCTCAAATATGTGTAAGAATGCACCAAATCAAACCTTTTCTTCGAGAAAAGCCCTGTCAGACGCTCCTTGGGTTGGTTGCACCTATACGATTCCCCAGAGATGACGGATTTGAATCTCAATCTAGAAAGTTGCCTAACCCCCACCCCCTCGCCCAATCACGTCCACACACAAACACACACCCATTAAGTCAGTCTGGCCCCTATTTGTACCCGACACTGACTATTGCTTCCACGTCTTCATTGCCGATATTCAGTTTTAATATTTCTTTAAGACTGTTTCAAGGACTCCAACTTGAATCCTAATTTATAATCTGAAGTATACATGTAGTTTAAAAACATCATTTAACTAGGCAATAATAGATGCCAGACACGTTTCAAAAATTCTTTTTTCTAATCATAAAAGACGTTTTGACAAGTTATTTTTAAAAGTTTAAAACTCTGTAAAAATGATCAGAATAAAACCATTGTTTCCCTGCCAAAATATTCACAAAAGATAAAATAAATCTTTACAAATAGACAACTTTTCTCTTCTTCTTTTCATCGCCTTAACTTTTTTACGAAAATGCTGATAATTAGATGGGTTTATTTCAAATGTAACTGATAGTGTCTTATAGTTTTGTTATAAAATTTTTATCTTGTCTGAAGTAATTTTATTTTAAATTTAGCTGAAATAGTTTGTAGTATCATAAAATTAGTCTAATCTCCTATTTTCCGGATTCTAAAAGTCTTAATTGGAAGGCTAGCCCCTTTAAAAAAAACTATAGCTGTCCTGATGAGGATGGGTATCCGAAGCATGAGAGGAGCTGTGGACAATTAAACTCTGTAAAAATGATCGTTATTCCACCAAAATATTCAACATAAATAAAGTAAAACTTTGGAAATAGACAAATGTTCTTGTCATTGATAATGAGATGAGTTTATTTCAAATGTTACTCAAATTAATCTTATCTGAAGTAGAATTCGATGGGGTTTATTTCAAATTTAGCTTAAATAGTTATGTAGTTTTTGTTATGTTAGTCTTTGATACGCCGGTAGTTTGACTATTTTTCCTATGTGTATTGCAGCACTAGTGGTGAGGTTTTTAACCAAAAGGTATTTATCAGAATATGCTCAAACTGACGAAGCTATTTATGAACGGAATGTGTCCGTGGACGAGAGGAACACAGCTTTAAGGTTTACAGATATCAGCGGCAAGGTAAGAAACTTGTACAAATGTATAGAAGTATAGTTGCTTCATAAAGGGAGGTAATATTATTGAGGACAGTAAAGGGATGTAATATCAGTGAGACTATAAAGGGAGGTAATATCAGCGAGAACTATAAAGGGAGGTAATATCAGTGAGACTATAAAGGGAGGTAATATCAGAGGTAATATCCGTGAAACTATAAAGGAAGGTAATATCAGTGAGAACTATAAAGGGGGGTAATATCAGTGAGAACTATAAAGGGAGGTAATATCAATGAGAATTGTAAAGGGAGGTAATATCAGTGAGACTATAAAGGGATGTAATATCAGTGAGAAATATAAAGGGAGGTAATATTAGTGAGACTATACAGGGAGGTAATATCAGTAAGACTATAAAGGGGGGTAATATCCGTGAAACTATAAAGGAAGGTAATATCAGTGAGAAGTATAAAGGGAGGTAATATCAGTGAGAAGTATAAAGGGAGGTAATATCAGTGAGAACTATAAAGGGAGGTAATATCAGTGAGAATTGTAAAGGGAGGTAATATCAGTGAGACTATAAAGGGAGGTAATATCAGTGAGAAATATAAAGGGAGGTAATATCAGTGAGAACTATAAAGGGAGGTAATATCAGTAAGAATTGTAAAGGGAGGTAATATCAGTAAGAATTGTAAAGGGAGGTAATATCAGTAAGAATTGTAAAGGGAGATAATGTGGCCTTTTCTATTTTAAGGATGTAGAAAGAAGAGCAGCCAATAAAGAAATGATCAGTAAAATGGATGGTATAATTGTGGTCTATAGTATTATAGACAGACACAGTTTTGACGTGGCTAAAAATATCATCAGTTGGCTACAGAGAGAACGACGACCAGCGCCACCCATACCTCTCCTTCTCCTTGGTAACAAATGTGACCTTGGACATCGAAGGTGAGTGGTCTTTCCTATTATTTTAATTTATGACTTTCGACATTGAAATGGGTGAAAACATAGTTATTACAATTCTACGGTTCAGACGGATAAATTCTTCCTGGCTGATAAACAATGTACTTAGACAGCTATATATCTCTGTAATATCTTTCAGTCGACTTTCAGTAATGATGATATCACTTTAAGTTCTATCAGTCGGTAAATGAAATAATTATTAAGACGACTATATGGCGTGGCATAAATTAAAATATTAAATGAAAACTTTGTTCTTGCTTGTGTTATTGAATAATGATATTTTTGTTCTGTTAATATTATGTTTTAATCAAATCTGACACTGACAGGTGAATTCAAGATAACAAAAATAATTTGTAAGTCATTGTGTATTAACTTTACATTTCTTTTAATTGGAGGATAAATAAAGAGTACAATAGTATTCAGTTTTTCTCTCCATATTTTGTATGAATCCTTTAAATAATATACTGTATGAAATCTTCCTTTAGACAGGTGTCGGCCAAGGTTATCTGCACGTGTTTGCTTCAGGTAAAATAGGACTCAGATAGCCTTTTAGAAAAAATAAATTTGATTAAATTCAGGAGTTTCCCAAACCTGTTTACAAATATATCATTTTCTGATAGCTAATTTAGACAGCTTGATATTAAACCCATCAAAGTTAAAATAATGTCTATCTGCACGTATTATTGTACAGATTACAGGTAGACCAGAACTAAAATAGACTATTTATCAAAACTTCTGATTGAAGTCGGGAGCCTGTTGGTGTGGTTTTATCGATACCGGAAATCTACAGAGTTAAATTTGCCCTACACTAGAACGGGGGTCAGGAAACTTGTTAAAACACCAATCAAATCTGTGGGATTGGTTCAAAGTTATCTAAACAGTTGCAGGTTAATGGAAATTCTTATCTTAGATTCTAAATTATCTCAACCAAACATTTCCTCTTTCAATTAATTTCTTATATCACAAATCACTCTGGATTTTACTTTTATATCTTCATTTTCTTCATCTGGTAACTCCATGTCAATTAAACTAGAATCGACTGCAATGATATGACTTCTACATGCTATCGATATCTTACACCCTCTAGGTTGGCTTTCTGCTATCTTTATCCTCTGGATAAGCTAACTGTAGTAGTTTACACCCTATAAGCCGGCATACTATATTTACCAAAGAGCATAGGGATTAACCATAGAGAGCATGTTAACTTTATTATAACCCTTCACATCCTCTAGATTGGCTGCTATATTTATTAACGTTATTACACTACAGGTGTAAGAGTATCTAACTGTTACTGTGTATTTATAAAGTTAATAAGACATACCACTATATATATTGATGTTATTTATAATGGTATTAGACAGGTAGTGACGTCACTCAGTGGGGAATATCAAGGCGTTATACCTGTTTGAAATGGTTTTAAACTATAACTTACATTAAGAGAACATTACCAGTTTATTTCAGATTAAGCTACATTATTACACATAGCGGGAGTTGTATACCGTATATCTCAAGGCATATAATCTTCTAAATATGTGTTTCATCATTCATCATTAATTTAGTTAGATTTTAAAGAGATAGTCACATTATTTCTTGGTTTACCAGCTAAGAGAACTGGCAGAGACACAGTAGTCATAATATTAGACTACCAAATAATTAAGGAATGACCTGAACATTTTTTCAGTTTATCGATGCATATACAGAAAAAAACTGTGTACACTGTATAAATCCGTTTAGCAGTTTATACATTAGAGTACCGGTACATAGGTTTTTTTGGGGAATTCGGAAAATACCTTAATCATTCAGTGAAGTGTCGATTTCGGCTCTGTTGACGTTCGAAGGAACGACATCGACGCCGTGTAGTTTCCACATCAATCAAACTCAATGATTAAAGTAGTCCGTTAAGTTATATTTACTATCTGTTTACATTCTGTTTACACATATATAAACCGAATGCACGTGGCCGCTGTTATCCAGTCAAATTGCGTGATACCGTGTAAACGGAGTCGTGATTTAATTATTTAATCTTGAAAGTGATATAGTGATTTGAAATATTTTCTTTATAAACTGATATAAATAAAAATAAAGTCACACAGCGATTCCCTCTGAGGTAACAGAGCGTTTTCTCCCTTTTTATAATTAAATCAGAATATCATTGATACCCCCTACCCGAGCTGTTTATTATAGCCAAATAAAATCCGACTCTGTGATATTTAGAAACAAGAATCGTGAATAGTCAAAGATTGTTAAACTAAGTTATCTGATCTCACTCCAGGAGATTAACAAAATAAATAATCATGTACACACGTTCTTGAACACGGTGTATTCTATAATGATGATATGAAGTATTTAGTACGGTATGACTTATAAACATTCACTTACTTGGCACATAGTTTCATCATATATTTACAAAATAATAGTCTGATGTACTGAAAACATCACAGCTTGGTTAGACACTAGCTGGCATTCACTCTTGTTCACTGAGTTCTGAGTTTGCTTACTTTCATAATTTGCCGACGTCTAGTTTTTAGCCCCTATAAAGTAATCCCGAAGTTAATTCCTGATCATCCAAAACGTACGTCGATGACATGAGACGAGCTTAAATCATTATCATCATCATAAAAATATAAGAAAGAAACATTTTTTGGCCACTTTCTTTTTTATATTTAAATTACAGGGTGGTAGAAAGCCCGGGTTTAGACAGCCCAGACTGGCAGACAGATTCCGACTGTTTTCTCAGATTCGAATGTTCAGCTTGTGATGATGTAGACGGAGTAGATGAAGTTTTTACCAAATTCATCCGGAAAGTAAGTAGTCACCACATTTCGTCCCTTTTTTTTACATTGCCGAGAAGTGATATGCACTAACGTCTGCAAAAAGTTTAGGGTCTTGGTCATATTTCAGTATTAATATCTGGGGTCAATAAAAAAAACCCTGATCGCTTCGATTTACACTATTTAGACCAGTGGTTTTCAACCTGTTTTTGTATGTGTCCCCAAATCAATCAGCATGAAAATGATGTCCCCAAATATCGAAAGTGTATCTATGATTGGATACTAGGAACGTTCTCGCATAGTTTGGTAGTAATAATTAATAATAGTACTTCTAGACAATGTTATTTGTGCAGTCATCATATGAGATGTTGTATATATTATAGATGGAAAGTTTTTATTTTTCACAGCATGTGACATCAAATGTCCCTAAAGAAAAGTGCAAATTTCCCCATCTTGGGACATGTCCCTGTGGTTGAAAAACTACGATTTATGCGATGTTGAATTCGATTTAGATCATTCACGGTTTGGAAACCAGATTCCAATTTTGAAAAAAAAAATAGCTGAAATTTATTTTTATCAGCCGGTAAAGTAAATATTTAGAAGATTATATCTAATTAAATTGTCTCCGTTGTCATTTATTTTTCAGATCCAAGAAAAACGTGATCCATCGAGTAAACCGCCTAGAAAAGTGAATCATCATTCTTCCGGACTGGGTTCACCAACCCAACTACGTGCTGCCATTAGACGGCGGTTCAGTGTTTTTAATCGCGATAGAACGACATTTTAATCACAATATGGAAATTTTCATTTGGTCATTTTGACTGAATAAAGTTGAATATATTATGTTGTTGATTCCAATGGTTAATTGGATTGCTACAGTGACTTGATTATTTCTATCAGACTAGATAGGACTGTATCATAATCTCGTATGTGCTCATATTTTCTCTGAATGAAAGGATTTAGACAACTTTCTTCGTAACCCTTGGAGACATTTTGACGCCTTCATGCCGCTGGTACGGCACCTCCAACAAAAAAAAAACATTACTACAACGTAATTCAATGATTATTTGTAATAACAAAACCTTTATACGAGACCTTTCAGGTACCACCTGGGGTTCTCACTGGTACAACAGGGGATTAAACCAATTCCTAACGTCAGTTTTAGTAGGGTCGGATTGCGACAGGTGCGTGATCATGACATAAACACTTCTGATCTTAATAGACAACCATTCGACATAATGTCTTCCGTGAGGGTCCTGCTAGCGATCTGCAACATAATCAGCTTTACGGAAACTGCCGAGAATTGCCGCATGACCATTCGACTGAACGAAGTTGTGTATTTCTTGCTCACGTCAGTAAAAAACTGACTAGAAAGTGGCATTACCTTAAAATAATGTGTCTTAAATACATAAATGTGTGGAAATGTGAATATATTGGAAGACGAGGAAAATGGTGTTACTTTTTTGTGAAATGGGGAGGTTTGTTTCTAAAATTCGCCAAACTAGGATGTACGTGAAATTCACTTAAAACGTCTTATAATACAAAAAGCATTGTGAAGTGGAACTAAACTTGTTTGTTTGCAAAACTTTACTGAAGCCCGACTGAAATTTTGAAATTACCAAAGTTACGATAATTATACTGTGAGAGCTTGAGTGTGGGAGCATATTCTGACACCCTAGAAACAATTTCGATGTTCTTACTCCCCCATAGAAAGGCCATTTTTACAATTAATGAGTTTAGATGCACCCTAGGATTTTTTGTGAAAAAAAGGCTTTGTGATCAGTTGACAAAACTCAATGAGTTGCAATCTCAATAGGTGACTCGTGACGTGAGAAAAAAAACCAGTTTATAAAAGAGAATATATTATTGTCCTGCGTTCTATTATCAGTTTAATAAAATTTTATTTCACAAAATCCTTTGTCTTGCTGAACAGATCTTAAGGGAGACTACTTACGATGAGTTATTTGTGGTCTATTGAATGTATACAACGGCTTGAGTGTGCAAAATATTACTAAAGTATCTACCCAACATGTTTAATATACCTTGCTGGAATAGATAGTGTAGTAAGAGATTTAGTTATTAGCCATTGCACGAGGGGTACTACATGCTGTTTTTACGCTATTTTTGCCCATAAAACGTCTGCTGTGGTTCCTAAAAACGTGCCCAGATTTTAATGTATGTCGCTATTTGGTATAAATTGTAATTTCTGCTCAAGTTTAATCGGAACCACAGACATTAAATGACATGGAAGGTATACATGTATATAGAAGATTCTATAAGTACGTCGAAACACATAACTTCCGATACCATACATTACCTGATTATCAGCAAGACACTATTATGCATTCGAGGACTTATATTTTGAAAATTTTCATAAAGCTATTTTTATTTTAAAATAAATATGATAATATTGAACAAAAAATAAGGTAGAATAGAATCTCAATATAAACTTAGACTAAACCTACTAGTATAACATATCCACGGACCATAACTCTGTATGTTACTAGGAGTGAGATGAGATCCAGTCTTGCAAGATTTGATTCGCTCCATGAAGTCCGAACTCTCGAGAAATATCTAGAGCATTTTTTCCATCCTGATTTCTAATTCGCGGATCGCATCCATGATCCAGAAGATTTTGGATGATTGCAACGTAATCGTTTGGATCCGTTTCGGTATATTTTGGATCCGAATCCAGTAAAATCATTTTGACTGCATCCATCATCTCAATGCACTTGTCTTTATACACAGCCGGCAACCGGATGTTATTCCGCAAATAAATAATCCCTCGTGATGCCGCCACGTGGAGCGCCGTATTACCGTTACCGTCTAAAGCTGTGACTTCGGCGCCATGTTGAAGAAAAGACTCCGCAGCCTTCACTTGTCCACTTCCGGCTGCAAAATGTAAGGCAGGAACGCGAATATCGCCCATCAGTGACGGGTCTGCTCCGTTCATACATAACAAAATGGCGCAATCGAATTGACCTTCCGCGGCTGCTAACCATAATGGCGTTTTATTTTCTGCATTGCGACAATTTACATCCTGATTAATCATTAGAATTTGTAAAAGTTCCGCTTTACCTTTGGACGCAGCAACATGGAGAGAATTCTGTCCGTTTGGATCAAGTTCTGTCGCGTCAGCGCCATGTTGGAGAAGTAAGACGGCACATTCGATATGGCCGCGTTCGGTTGCAAGGGTCAGAGGAGATTTATCCTTAAGCGGTGAGTTAATATCGATAATTTTAGATTTCAAAATGGATTCCAGGACAGACGTGTTGTTATCAGTCACTGCTGTGTGCAATTCGGCTGTCGTTAAGGGATGACGTTGTTTATAATTGAAATCCAGAGCCAAGAATCTTTTCAGACACCAACCAAGCGGCAGGGAATCTATTTTCAGTATCATCTCACTACCCAGAGCTCGTCTGATCGTCAACCTACATTGATGTTGAAATGAAAATGGCCACACGTCTGTCGCATCGTTATTTTGAGTATTTTCAGTAGAAGAGTTATTTCCCTTTGTAAGATTATCTCCCTTTAAGCACGTGATATCACAGTTACTGAAGTCAGTCGCCATTATTAAGGCGTCTATAAGTTTCTGGCGGTGTTTCTCGGTTTGGGGATTGTTGGTTGTAGTGTTAAGCACATACGAAATTGGTAGCACTTTTTCTCTCGTTTGAGGGTCAACTAGCCGCATACTTGGGTCACATCCATAATATAGCAGAACTAAGGCGAGTTCATAACGAGGTCGATCACGTGTTATAGCTAAATGAAAGGGAGTTAATCCCTCATTATCTGGAATGTCCAAACCACAACCATGTTCCATAAATAAACAAGCGCTGTGGAATTCGTTCGAGTCAACTGCATGGTGTAAAGCTGTCCTTCCATTTTTATCTTTTAAATTAAGATCACAGTTTTTTGTTAAAAGTAATTTCACTATATCGATCATTTTAGTCAATGGTTTCCCCCGAACATCCAGTTCGTAGGAGGACGGTATTGACATCATCAAGGGCGACAACTTTTGGTCTTTTGTTTGAGAATTAACACAACAACCGTGATTCAATAATAACTTAATCACTTCTATACTGACATTGGAGCATGCGCGATGTAAAGGCGATTCTCCCTTGAAGTCGATTTTGTTTACGTCGGCGCCATTTTGAATTAAGAAGTCCGCTGATCTAGCTGCGTCATCCCAGCTCGTAGCTCCAAGGGGAGTAACTCCTCTTATATCACTGGCGTCCGTTTCACATCCGAACGATTTCAACTTTTGAACCATAGACAGCCTATCGTATTTTGCTGCATAGAAAATTGGCGTGCGATCTAATTGATTTTTGGAATTAGGGTTGAAGTCTTTATGTCCGATCAAAATTTCGGCAATTCTGTTGTTGCATAAATCCACGGCTCTCGTAAACGGAAGTTCTCTGTTGTACAAGGCATTAACGTCGGCACCATTTTGAAGCAAACGTTGAACTTCCTGTTCGTTGCCTTGAGAAATGGCGTCGTGAAGATGGCTGCTCATGGACATGTCGAAATGTGAGTAGAGGTTTTGTAGCAGGGCGGAGGCAGCACCAATATGGCAGACACTGTAGATCACAGGCCTCATCTGAAATGACAGGAAAATGTTAAGAATATCAACAACAAAAAAAGTCAGTTACCAAAAGAGCAAAATTGACTGAAAAAATAGATAGATAGGCCTATAGTCCTGAAAAATGACAATACATGTGCTGTCAAGCATATTTATACATAAGACACAGAAAACTATCATAATTATAACATAACAAGCCTACATCGTCGCCCAAAAGTTAGACGTTAAACTCCAAGTCATTCCTTCAGTCCAAAAATAAAATGAGGAGAAGGGCCTGAAACTCAATTACATTTCATTGGAAATGAAATGAAATGAATGGAGTTTTACGTCCTACTTTTCTGCACCATGTGGACTCATTTCATTGAAGCAATATAGTACAGTAGGAAATAAAAATCCATTTCAATATTCCAATAAGATATAGAACAGTAGGATATAAAACTGCATTTTATTTCATTAGTCCAAAAAGTTTCATTACGGTGGAACCCCATTCCGTTTTATTATTCCAAAAAGAAACAGAACAGTGGGATATAAACTCAGTTTTATTCATCAGTCCTATCAGAAACAGAACAGTAGGATTTAAAACTCAATTTCATTTCATTAGCTCAATAATGTAACAGAACAGTAGAACTTAAACACCATATGATATTTAGATGAGAACGAAAGTTTTGCAACACACATTTTTTTTTCTTGCTCTTTCAAATAAAAAAATGAACCTTCATACCAACCACATCAAAACGAACAAATCATGTCAGCCAACTGTGTCACATATAGTTTCAGAGTTTTTAATTTTACTGAAAAAAGGGCGATACATATAGTAGGAAATATACCGACATAAATTATATTGAATACACAACTTTAGTCCGAAACTTCTTTCTTGAATTATACTCTGTTTATCTTATACTAACTAGACAGTCTAACCACGAAATTGCCAAGTACATTCCTCCGTAGTTTTCAGCGTCCATGTTAGAAGCTGGGGTTCCGCGTAGAGCTGCATCCTGTCTACAGAAAACTACCATTGTATCAATTACAGGTCTCTGTGGCTAGAAGCAACCATGTAAAACTGATATAGCGTAGATTGCGAGCGGAATAAATTGAAGTGAAAGCAATCAAGCCATTTCTGGGGTTTACTGCCAACAAAAACAGGAGATGAAAAAAGTTATGTTGCATAAAATTACATTTGAAATGAATGGCGGCTCACTGCTATCGTATCACAATCTTGGGCTAAAATGAAAATGGTAGATTGAATATATGGTGGCGTTCTGCTATCCTGTCACAATCCACTAGCTAGTTGAACATGAAAGTATAGATCAATGATGGCTGGGGGCTCTAGTGTTTGCTAACTAAACTATTTGACATACGATACTCAGTTCCATTTCATTAGTCAAATGTTTTATTGCAGAATTACGTGAAAACATCACTTCATTTCGTTAGCCCATTAAAATACATTAAGGTACTATTGAAAATTCCACATTGTGTATCACACTCTATTTATATACGAATGAATACTTATTCAAAATGATGCATTAAATCAGATGATGTAAATTAAATGTTAATTTCTGGTCTTGGTCTAATGATATTATAAAAAAGAAAGGTTCGGATTACTATGAATAATGTAATAGTTGTAAAATGTATTTGATCCCGGGGCAAAATTTCTTGTAAAAAAACAAAACATTGCCTCAGGTAACTCATTTATAATTCAGACTAATATACTTGTTTTTGTCTACCTCGACTAATTTTCTATTTGACTCTATCTTAGTCTTTCTGGTGGACCTATAAACCGAGGTCTGTGCTCAACAAACTGTGTACATCCTGGCAGTTGAAGTAAAAGGCGGTTATTGTTTCTAAAATTCCCCTCATCGCATTTTTGTTACCCGTCAAGCAAGAACAAACAAAATTATATTTCAATTATATATTTAAATCAATCTTCGGAGAAACGAAAGCCTCCTTCATTTTTTTATTCTACCATAGTATAGTGATAGCATGAGCTACGGATGTGAGGCATCGACACTCTTTAGAAAGACCCGATTCTACTTTGCATTTGCCGCATCTTTTACCTTATGGGGTTTGTGAAGCCGTTTAAGTTTTAGGCCAAGTAATGGGACTATATTGAAGCAATTTATGACGTGGAATTATTGGACGGGTCTGGATGGGCTATCTTTTGGACTTTGAACTCAACATATCAAATAAATTGAAGTGCAGTGTTAATTATGAACTGTAGCTTTGTTTTCCTTCTGGATTCAATATGGACTGTAACAAAAGAGACATTTGACAGAACGTTAAACGTAAAAGTAGATCAACCTATTTTGTGAACAGAAACCTCAAGAGAAAATGTCTCATAGTTACCATGGTATAAATTGACCTATTATCATGTCCTATTTCGCAACATGTTAGTGAGAAAATAGGCGATTTAGTTTCAAATCTTAGAAAACGTGTTATGTTCGTGGAATCTTGTCGTTACCATGGAATGGGAGGTCTATAGACAACCCTTATCAGAACTGATTTAAGCTATGCCACCAGATAGGATTTACAGCTAAATGTATAACATTTAAATCATGCATTTGTATGATAGCTAAAACAACAATTTGCATTGACAGCTAAACCAGCAGTTAGTATTGACATCTAACCCATCAGTTAGTATTGACAGCTCATCTATCAGTTAGTATTGACAGCTAACCCATCAGTTTGTATTTACAGTAAAACCATCAGTTTGCATCGACAGCTAAAACACCAGTTTGCATTTACAGCTAAACCATCAGTTTGTATTAACAGCTAAACCATCAACTTCATTGACAGCTAAACCATCAATTAGTATCGACAGCTAACCCATTAGTTTGTATTGATAGCTAAGCCACCAGTTGAAATTGACAGCTAAACCATCAGATTGTATTGACAGCAACAATCAGTTTGCATTGACAGCTAACCCATTAGTTTGTATTAACAGCTAAACCATCAACTTCATTGACAGCTTAACCATAAATTAGTATCGACAGCTAACCCATTAGTTTGTATTGATAGTTAAACCACCAATTGGAATTGACAGCTAAACCACCAATTTGCACTGGCAGCTAAATCATCAGTTGCATTGGCAGCTAAACCATCAATTAGTATCGACAGCTAACCCATTAGTTTGTATTGATAGCTAAACCACCGGCTGAATTTGACAGCTAAAACATCAGATTGTATTGACAGCAACCATCAGTTTGCATTGACAGCTGAACTACCAGTTTGCACTGGTAGCTAAACCATCAGTTGCATTGACAACTAAATCATCAGTTTGCATTTACATCTAAAACACCAATTTGCATTGACAGTTAAACTGCCAGTTTGCATCGACATCAACAGCTAGACCATTAGTTTTCGTGACAGCTAAACCATCAGTTTGCATTGACAATGCAGTTTAAATCTGTAACAGCTGTAATCACCCTCCACTCAAACGATTGAACCCATACAGCTGCCATTTTGCTCTACTGCTCTATCTATTTGTTATCAAGTAACGAGTCCTACATGATATACTTTTATTTGTTAAAAATGAGAACTCGTAAGATTACAAAAAAAAGAAAAGTAGAAAAAAAAACTGTAATCCAATTTTAATAAGGTTTCCCTCACTCAAAGTCACTTTTTATTGTGTATGCCAACATAATTCGAATATTTGAATAATCTTAATAAAAGTTGTTAATAACGGCAAGACTTGCATTGCGATTCATTTAGAGTTTAACGTTCTGCCAAACATCACTATTGCTTGTTTACAAAATTATGTGACCTTTTAACCCCTCAAAGCCAATCTATTTATTATTGGGCCTCAATAAAAACATAGAAATCTCCATGAATGGGCAGTTTTTACTTTTTATATTAGTGGACAATTCAAACAATAAGTCTATATCATAGAACGGATGCACAAATAAAAACATGTCCCCACATGGATCGGGGGGCGCTTTTGCACTCAATGACCTCATCTCCTCCACTTTATACTCTACATAAATTAGTTTTAAATGTTGAAACGTTTTACTCAGTAATATTATCAAAAGTTATGTCATATGTAAATTATTGAGAAGTTGCGTACACATAAGCCTAAGATTAACATGCGTTCACATGCAAATGTAAATTATTGTCAATAAGCATATATTATGTATGCCTACTGAAATTTCTGAAACGTTGCGTACAGAAGTGTCAAAACCCTCTGCAATATGTTCATCACTGTAAAGAGTAAATTCTATTTACCTGCTAGTTTTTGCTATTTTCTTTCCCAAGACCATCGATTCATGTTTCCCCAAACAAATTTACACCACTGCATTCATTCCACACAACGTTTCGACGCGGTAGCACTCTTTTACAGAAAGTACCATGCATCACTGTCGGGAAACTGTCATTATACATTGTGTACAACGTTTTGAGCAGGTAACATGGGTGCTGACAGGACAAAACACTCAATATATGGATGGTATTGACAACGTTTCAACAAATTACAATTATATCAATATACATGTATATCCAAAGCTGTACACTCAATATGGATGACAACCTCTCTGACAAAGTTTCGATTAGATTACACTAGTCGCTATCATTCCTAATAAAACTGCAGACCGACTGGTCAAGGTGTTAAGGTAACATTCGGACAATGACTGACCATAGTTTGTGTCATCAAAACAAAAACAAAGCCCGGGTCACACTAGTCTTTATTACTTTATTGCTATTCGAAGTGGGATAACCCAGTATGTACTCAATACTGAAATAAAATGCTGTTGACACGGTCAGTGCTTTCTAGAGTTAGCAAGGCCCATCTAAAGCTAGAAACAGACTACAATTCGACATTGAGAAGAATTGACAGCGGTAAAACGTCAATAATATTATCTTCATTGGCTGTTAAGCCCGGTTCACACTTGAATTGATTTACCTTAATAAAAAAAAGCGCAGGTCACACGATTCATGTCCTCAAGCTAGAAACACAATAAATTTGATTTTACCTGGCGAAACAATTGCTACAAATAAACAATACTAATTGTTCGTCTCCATTGATTTAAGTCACAACAACATTATAAATGATTTAAATGGGTCCTCCTTTCAGAGCGTACACATAAGTAGTATTGTGTTTTTATTTGGACCATCCTGTTGATTTGAACATGGATTTAGTTTTTACATGGCGAATTTAGGTCTTTTTTTTAAATCATATCTGTTACTTCAGAATAAAGGAAGTATTGAAAATCCGTAAATTGAAACCAAAACAGAATAATATACTATAAAACGGATCCTCGCACCCGCCTCCTAAAAAAGAAAAAAGGAGAGAAAGTGCATTGTATAAGTGTGAACAAGTATACATAATTATTATAGTTCAATTTCATTATTTCCATCTTTGGTTGAAAGCGTCCAGAGCTATCATTCGGACATGACCTTTTGACCTGTATTAGGTCTAATGGCCCTAATCCATGAATATATCATCAATAAGTACTTATTCATAATGAAATGAATTATATTCATAGAAAGCTTCTATTCTTTGCCTGGACATGTTTTATCTGGTGCAGACAGCGTGTTAGATAAGTGAATATACACAAACATTCAAACTATTCCACCACAATGTAGCTGGCTGATAGGAAAGCGCTATATCTTTTCATATCGTGGCTGTCATTGTAGAACAACTTACATAATCTTCGGTGGCTAATATTCGGCTTATGTATGTCTAAATGATTGATTTTGTCGGCTTCTGGACTTTTGGAAATAATATCACATGTCAGTTTCCCTATTCAGAACAGTCATGCACGCACTGAATATGTGGAGTTTTACGCCACTTTTCGTCCCCTCTTTGCCACTATGTTAATCTGCTAGCTGTAGATATACAGCTTTAGTCTCATTCTGATCAAAGAAAGCAGTCATTGGACTAAGCACCCTTTTAGCTAGTTTAGTACAATACTTAATGTTTTCGTTCCATTCTCTAACCCAAGTAAACTGCCATTAATTGTAGTCATATATAGCAATCTGCTAGCTAGTTGGATAGGATGCCGATACTTTGGTAAGCCTTTGTTCTTTTCTGACCACAGTAAACGCATTACACCAAGCACAATTTGCCTGCTTTTTGGACATGATAAAATAGGGTTTTTGTATATCCTTGTTCCATTATGATCACCGTCATTGTATCAAGCACAATTTGCTAGCTAGTTGGACGTGATAGTTTGGTATGCACAAATTCCACTATGAACTGCTCGCTGGTTAAAAGTAAGGGTCATGATTTTGTTGTGGTCTGAAGTATCATGACGTTATCTGGAGTTGCTTCCCCTTTATCATAATTTCTACTTCCACTTTCTAGAAAATTCCGGAAGTTGCATGCTTTGTTTCAAATCTTAGTTTATCTTACTATTTTGAAAGGATTTAAGCTGAATTCGTCGATATATTATAAAAATGTCGCAAGACAAAAGTGGTGAAACCCCAGAAAAAATTGATTTAACACCAGAAAAAAATGGTGGCGTTTTGAAAGAGATTTTGAAAGCTGGTGACGAAAATGAAGGATCTCCATCAACCGGAGACAAAGTTTTTGTTCATTATGTTGGGACTTTGTTGAATGGGGAAAAATTTGATTCGAGTCGTGATCGAGGAGAGAAGTTTGAATTTACTTTGGGAACAGGTAAGTCTATGACAGGATATGCATCTTTTCTTATTGGAATCGTATTCCTATCTCAAAACTGAATAGTCTATCTAATCTACACACTTTGTGTTCAAAAAAATGCAAAAAAAAAAAAGGCCAAGAGTGAGGTTTGGTTTAAGGACACAATTGGAAAATCCAAGAAACAACTTTGGTCCCTGTTCCATGAATGTTCAGAATTTGTGAAATTGGTATCTGTACATAATGGAGGTTTGATTAGCCTATTATGATCTTAAAAACAAGATGACTTACTGTCTTTGTATCGTACATTTGTCATTTTCCTCCAGGACAAGTAATCAAGGCATGGGATCTAGGAGTGGCGTCGATGAAGAAGGGGGAAGTGTCAAGGTTGACTTGCCAGTCAGACTATGCTTACGGGGATTCTGGTTCTCCACCAAAAATTCCACCCAAAGCAACCCTCATATTTGAAGTGGAATTGTTCTCTTGGAAAGGTAAGAAGTTTTTGATATCTGTACATCAACTACTAGCAGCCGACGGTATATCTGATAATATCAATGGATTGAGTGCAAAGACAGTTGGATTATGAAAGTTTCCTCCAGCAGCTCATGTTTGCTTATGTTCAACTGTAACAGATCTATTAAGATGTTTTGATTCACCAGTCAACTTGAAACCATCCTTACTCGTAGGACCTTTTTATTCTGTCTAGTGATTTCACTTATTTTGCTCATCTAATTACCAGTTTTAAGTTAACCCCTATTTCCACACTGATAAATATCAGAAGCAAGTGTCAGCAGCAGAAAAGCTTGTGTCAATTAAGAGTATTTTGATTGGATGATATTTATTACAGGTGAAGATTTGACCGAGAAAAAAAATGGTGGAATTATACGGAGTATAAAGAAACAGGGGGATGGATTTAAAACACCTAAAGATGGGTCAACAGTTAACAGTAAGTTGTTATATTTTACGGCCATATGAATTGTGACATAATGAGATATTTTGCAGTTTCACCCTCCAGTCCATTGCTTCACACCATTTGACATTGTGTCAGTGATAACTTCATTTTAAACAGACCCACAGGTCCTACCAAAGTGGAGCCGTGGAATATGTGATACTACTTTTCACTGCGTTACACCAACTTGTATACAATGTACTCTGTTAATTCTGACAATCTGAACAATCTGATATGTTTTTTGAGCTTCTTTTCAATTTCCAAAGTTTAAAAAAAACACTTTGACTGTACTGGTGTATTCTGAACTTCTGACACTAATTAATGGAACAGATGAAGCTGTATAATATGACATCTCAGCATAATCACTCAGCACCAATTAGATAATCTTTTGTAACCAACATCCCAATGTGTGCAGTTTTTTAGTTTTATCTATTTCATGTCTATCATTTTATATTCTAGTTCATCTAGTAGGAAAATATAAAGGGAGGATATTTGAGGAACGAGACGTGGAGTTTATAGTGGGTGAACCAGAGGAACAGAATGTTATAGAGGGTATTGACATTGCTGTGACCAAAATGAAGAAGGGAGAGAAGTCAGTATTTAAAATTGCCCCAACCTTTGCTTACGGTCAGGTTGGAAATAAGGACTTTGATATTCCAGCAGAGGCTCATCTGGAATATGAAGTTTATTTATCCTGCTTTGAAAATGTAAGATTTATCATTTCTTTTATAACAGTTTCCAAACTGCCAGACATTCCAGACCTAATTGGCCTAAAAAATCAAACTGACAATAGAAATTAATGGAAGCCTGACCCTGTGTTACCTTACCTTGTAATCTTATTTAAATTAGATTGATGTATTTGCAAAAAGGAAAAGTATGAAAGCATCTCAAGAGTTGTGTTGTAACAAGCTCCTGGATATTTTGATTTTATTGTTAATTTGTTAGTTAGATTGAGAGATTTATTAGGTGTGGTTGTCACTAATTAAAAGATTCAGAATAAGTTTTCTAGCCTTCATATGTGTATTTCAATCTATTCAACAGGCTAAAGAAGCGTATGAAATGGACCCACCAGAGAAACTTGAACAGTCAGAGATTATGAAAGCTAAGGGAGGGAACCTGGTGAAGGTAAGGTCTGGTGAAGTTTGCCTCATTGCACACTGCATGACAGTTATATTTAAACATGTATGCTGAATATTGGGATCTTAACATCGTGATGTAAAATACTGTTTCTACAATGTTTTAAAAAAATTTTTACACTTGTAATTCGCAACAGACAAATTTGTGAAATATCCCTCATAGTACACTGTAATGGGTTTCCATCTTCTTTGACATTGATATATCTTATTTGTCATGAGAAACAGTATGGTTTTAAGCTCCGTTTTATTTTCATTGTAGGCAGGTAAATATCTTAGAGCTATAAAATGTTATAAAAAGATCATAGATTATCTAGAACACGAGACAACATCTACATTAGAGGAGGCAGAAAAAACAAAACGAGATTTTCTCATGTTAGCAGCTCATCTTAACCTGGCTTTATGTTACCTCAAAACAGAAGAGTTCAACTCAGTTTGTGATGAGTGTGAAAAGGCGTTGGAATTTGACCCTAAAAGTACAAAGGCTTATTTCAGACGAGGACAGGTAAGCTTTCTTTTTTCTAATCTGAAAACTTTGTACCAGTTCCAAGCATAATCTTGAATTTCAAACCAGGAGAAAATGTACCATATCACAATCCAGAAGTCAAAGTAATAATAACAAGGATACCTATTCAAATCACAAGGAGAAAATTGTCAAAAGTAATCTGTAACTCTCTAAGACACATATTGGAAATAAACAGGAAAGTAAAGTATATTGTAAAAGAAACTAGGATGTGAAACACACATTTCTGTTCAAAGGGAACACAGCAAGTTGGAATGATTTTCTCAAATTTATCTTTTAACAATCTACAGTTCAACTCAAAAAGATAACTTTGAAATCAAAATTGAAATTATTTCATAACGTGATAGTTTTTTATTTTTGCCCAAACACATTCTCTTGGTACATTAACTTTGTAATCACTCGTTAATTTTCAGGCATATTTTAGTAAACATGAGTACGAACTGGCTAAAGCTAATTTTGAGAAAGTTTTAGAGTGTGAACCAGAGAACAAGGCTGCTAAGAATCAAATTATCTTGAGTAAACAGAAAATAAAACAATTTAAAGACAAAGAAAAGAAGACTTACTCTGGCATGTTTACGAAGTTTGCTCAACAAGATATCAAGGTAGGTTGAAATTGTTATCAAGTAGCTTTTTATTTTGAGGACAGGTTGTAGCTCAATTGTTTAGAGTGTTGGAACCTTGACATCATTTCAATTGTTACCTGACACAAACAGTAGTTGTGTATTCTAGGTTGTATTGGAAAATGACCTTGGTCCTTGATTTAATCATATTTCCTCATTATTTCAGTTAATATTTTTTAATTCAGCTGTTAATGGATAGATGTATATTGTCAAATTTTCAATTGCCCAACTGTCTGTCGTTTCAATTAATCCCTTGCTCAGCCTAAAAATAAAATTGGAGACATTTTATTTTCATTTTTTCATAAACTGATGCCTATCAATTTTCTTCATTATTGGACAAGTTTTCACAGATTTTAAGCACAGGACTAAGTGCACTTTAGCCACATTGTGGTTTGTTCATGCTTGCTCCAAGAAAGTATAGTGTTTAGCATTTAGGTGCTTTTTATCAAAATTGTTTAGCATCTGCCCAGACCTTTACCAACTCTAGTTAACATGTCCACTATATTGTAGAGGGCATTGCCAGATTATGTGGCACCAGTTGGAGATGTAATGGAAAGTATTGATAACTGGTCCAATGATATGGCTAAAGACATGATGTCTATTGAACAAGAAATGGCCGCGTTTGGAGAAGTTATGCCTGAGATTGATAAAGAAAATCTGAAACCAAAAAAGAAATAGAGGTAGGTTGCTACTGGATACAACAAAATTGTAAAAAAAATTCAATTATGATTAAAAAAATATAACTACAGTATGTGTATGAAACGAGCAAAGTTATAAAGGAAAAAATCATGTTCCATATTCTTAATCTTATTTTATGTGAATTAAATATTGTTTGTACAAACATATGGTACTATAAATTCTACTGAACAAATTTAACAAAAATAACCCTGTGCCTGGGTTTCATAAATTGATTTTAGCTTTAGTCATCAAGACTTAGACATCTCGGATAATATCATAAAGTTAACATTAAGTTATTAAAATTATTATTAAATATTTTGTCAATAGAGTTTTTCAGTAGCAACCTATCTTGTTTTTTTTTGGTTATTTCAATTTCAATTTATGCTTAGGGCACAATTATTTGACTTGCTGTATATATAGTGTCTAACCGAAAAACTTTGATACTCTGGAATTTAGAGAGTTGTGTGACGTTGGTTCAGAATTTTCATAAAAAAGATACAATATTTATTGTGTGAAAAATATGTTTAATTTGAGTTTTTTTTCCCGTCTAAATCATGTTTTATTTTCGGGACATAATGAACCAATATCTTTTCATCTTATTTCTGCATTTGACATTGTTATGTAGTTAAAATATAACCCAATGTTAAAATCAAAGTCTATTTAAGTTATCTAATACTACTGTGAGGTACATATTTCTGGTTCTTACAGTTCTTGTGGCAAACTTTTTTTTGTAGATTTGTATTCAGTTTTGTAATTCTATATTATAGAAGAGTGGGACAGGAGACCAGGTTGAAAATAAAACTAAGAAAGAAGAGTGGGAAGAAGATAAAGCTGAGAAAGGAGAAGAAGAAATTATGGAAGTCAGTGGAAACTGAACTTTATCCAATCTGACATCTTTTTTTAAAACGTCTTAACCCTTTGAACTTTGAGTGTATATAAAATAAACCTTCATATACTCTGAACTATAAGCTATATATATTTAAGAGTATGATTTAAGGTGAACATTGTGTGACATCACTTGGTAATGGCCAATCAAGCAGTTACATTTAGCTTGTGATAAAGAGAGATGTTCGAAAAAGATAAACAGAAGCTAATATTGTGTGTCACTATTATTCAAATTGATAAAGGTTTTATATATTTTTATAAAGCTCCTATAAGCATATTTGAGAGACAGAAATAGTACCCTGTTGTCGATGTGTCAGTACTCAATTGGCTTTTTTGTGGAATTTGTTTACCTAAATCCATAAGTGACTGTAGTCATTGAAGATATTTGGGGACAGTCCAATTCAAATCATTAATATAAGAATTTAAGATTTGTAGTACATTGTATTATGTTATCATGTCATACTTGTTATTCATTAAATCTTTCATACTGTAGACTTGTACATATTACAATCTAAGAGTATGTATATATTGAAGCATTTTATTTGTATAATTTGACACCCATCTCCCGTCTTTCCAGCTTACAACTGATTTTTCTTAAAACTTATGACTGATTTTTAAAACGGATGTCTGGGAAACCCAGTACCCAATTAGGACATGACCCAAAGACCCTTTTCACAAAACTTAAAGGTATACTACTCTTGTGATGACCAACTTTTGAGAATTTAAAATCTTATGCCCATTCTAAGAGGTAGTGTCCTAATGGGGGGAGGGGGAATTTTCACAATGAAATGAAATTAATGGAGTTTTACATCATACTTTTCTGCACCAACATGCAGGGTGCAATGAGGGAAATTAACCTATTTTTCGATTTTCAACTGTCGAGGAATCTTTAACGTGCATAGCCTGTAGCACACAGGGCTTTGGTTTATTGTCCCATCCGAACAACAAGATGCTTTTTCCATGCCAGACGCTCTTACAGGGAAACAACCACAAATATATAATGATTGGTCTGATGGTTCTCCAAGAATTAAAAAATAGAATTTATTTAATGCATTCTGATATAATACGGGGCAAAAACGTAATAGAATTCATATTTTGAAATTTCTTAGAAAAGCAGTTAGATACAATTTTGTGAACCTCCAATGGTACAGTCAGTGCAAAAGGATATCAATGGATAAATAAAACTGATAAAAAAATCACAGTTTATATATAATATTATATTAACAATATGTTATCTGGTTCAGCATGCAAATAATAGTAATAATAATAAATCTACCAATAATATAATTAGAATTACTTAACCCTTTACCTGCCAAGGCCTGAAACATTGCAATATGGAAGATCAAGCCCAATTTACTGCAAGTCTAATATTAATATGTAATATTACTATTCAATGCCATCAGTCATACAATTTTTAGGAACCTAGCCTCTATTTCTAATTTAGATCTTTTAGATATAGATCTCAAAAATTTGTTGTAATTTGTCAACTAGAATAGGAACTTTTTTTTTGTGCAACAAGACCCAGACCTCTGTTATCCAAAAAGTTTCAGTGTTGTAAGTGTGTTATAGGTAAGAGAAATAACATTCTGACGACTAAAAATATGAGAAATTTTGTCCAAATGTTGACAATATATTTCAACAGACCTGGCAGTTTTTGGGTTAACATCTCTAATTGCACGGAGAATAGTAAATAAATGTTCGTTAAAAATAAAATAATTATCAATCATAATCTAACCTACAAATAATTCATAATATTAAGCAACTTATACTCCCTATTTACGACTTCAACAATTTTAATTTGGTGAATCGGTGAATTGAAAGAACCAAATAGGCTACACACTGCCAAGAACTTTCATGAAAAATTCGAACAAATGAGATGACAATCTGAGGCCATACCTTCAATTAATATAATTAATGTAATTATAAGGGAATAGTGATTCAGTATATATGCAAGTGAAAGGCACTATATAAATTTAAGATTGTTCACAGACTGCATTGTTTTGTCATGACAACTGTAGTGAGATTCTTTCTGATTGGTTCAAATATTATTCTTTGACCAATAAAATATCTTAACACATTTTATCTTAACAAAACAAGAAAACAAATTGAAAATATTCAAAAGAACAAAAAAAATTGCTTTTTGCGTAAGCATTTTGCTGCCCCACAAAAAACAAAATGAATTATGCAAAATAGAAGCTTTAAGCAAAGCAAATGCTTGTTTTTTTTTTACAATTCACTGGGACACTAGGGCCTGTTTCTCAAAACTTAACTTAGATTGATATTAATGCTCATCTGATTGGTCAATAACTGAAATAGATTTTAAATTTAGCCTTTTTCACCAATCAAATTACTATGTCTTTAAGTCACCATATTTATCTTACTTAGTTAACATTTTGTGAAACAGGCCTCTTATAACTACAAATGTATCTGATGTAAAACAGGGCTGCTGATTTGGATTTTTTCAAACTGGACATACATGTATTAAGAAGAATGATCGATTACCCATTACAGAGTTAGAGTTTCTTATTTCCAAACCAAACTATCTTGATGTGGACTCCACAACACTTGTTTTCAAAACCTGGCTGACATATGTACAAAAAAACCCAAATATTAATGGGATATTGTCAAACTACACCTCCAAATCAACAGTTTTTCCACAAACAGCAGTTACATCTAGGTATATTTATTGAAAGTTCTGTTGTCATATTTCTGTAGGGGGAACTCTAATCTATTACTAGATTTAGTCATATTGATGACTGAAGAATTACATTTTTCTGCTAGTTATCATCATCTGCTTGCATTCCTCAACCAAACCAAGTGGAATCTGACCAACCACCTGACTGCAGTTACTAGTATCCCCCATTAAAAACAACTTATGATAGGTGAAATTTTGATAAATTTGTCAAGTTGTAAAAGAGTTATTTCCCCTAACGTTGAAGAATGTGAAACGGAAATCAATTTGAGAATTTAACCAAGAGGTAGTATTATGACAAAAACAAAGATCAATTTCACACAACTAAATGAAAAATATATCTACGTCTATTCTGAAATATATTTAACAATAAGCCAAATTATTCTAATTAACTTCTCCAATATTCACTTTACTACATTACTATAATATGTTGTGAGTGCTGACAAAATGGTGAAAAAATACAAACAGCTTTGGTTTATGTCTTAAGATTTTATAAATGAATATTTTACAAAATGAGGCCATGTCTCTTCCCTGATGGATCAAAAATCTCAGGAAAAGGACCATTTCTTGTATTTCTTAAGACAATAACTTTATTTAACTCCTAACAGTAGAGCCACAGTGGTTGGAGGGCTGAACAGAGGATGTTTGGACTCTATGGTTCCATAAGTCAAGACAGCAGAACCACCCTTGTTAAACCTGTCATTGATGCAGGTTAGAGGGACTGATATAGAAAAAAGTTTTACCCAGGGTTGACCAATGGCAAAGTTAAACAATGGTCTTTTACATCCTCTAAGTTGACTAATATTACAAGTTGATTTATTGGAAACTTTTATATCCTCTAGGTTGGCTAATTGAATTGTCATATGTAGATTGAGTTATGAAAAGAAAGAAATGGTCCATTTAAGGGAAGAAGACATCAGATTTGGTAAAAAAAATGCAGCAGACTTAAATATTCATCAGGGTCATGAAATGTGACCCTCCTCCCACCCTAACAAGCCTAGCACCAAACCAACCCCCAATGTCATAGCACCCATACCCCCAAAATCCTTCTTCCAAATTTGTTTCTTGGCTACAAATTCTCAAATATCTAGCAACTTCCTAATATCATAAAACTTGACCCCATGAACTTTTTATGTGTACCAGGGTCGTTTACGAGCCCATCTAATTTGGTAGCCTGAGTCAACACGAATCTTGATGGATGCTCCTTCAGCAGCTCGAACTGTTTCCTTGACAGCCTGCATCAGATTCTGTGCATTTCCAACCAACATCTCTGTAGCTTCTTGATCTTCCTCTGAACCTATAAAAATTTCAAAATCAGAGTCAGAAAATGAACTTACAATACGACAGGGATATAGTTACCTTATTATTCACTCGACTAGCTGACAGAACATAAAGGGATATTGTCGCAAAATTTTGAATAACATCTGATAAAAACTTTAAGGGATACAAGTTAATAAAGTTCATCTTCCAATATCATTTTTCAGAGCGGAAATCTGAATTTTGTTCGCAATATTTTACCTTTGTAACAAACTCTGAATTTTATCACCTTATCTGTCATACAGATGTTTGAAGTACAACCAAAATAAAGGCTGGACGATTGACATTAAAAAACACTATATTTTTTGTCTTATTGTTGACGAACGAGTTGTCAAATATTTCTTTTGAAAAGTGATACATGTTGTCAAATTTAGCTAGTAAAGTGAATATTTAGATGAATACCATGAAAAACCCAACTTTTGTTCCCAAATAAAGAACCAGGGCCCGTCCATATTCTCGAAAGTATCTTAGCGCTAGGATGTCTTAGAAACAGTGTCAGAAGATAAGACCTTGGGACATACTAGCACTAAGATCGTTTCGAGAATACCTTGCTAGCAGTTCAGTCAGTGTTCTATGAGAAATATATTTCAAATACTACTACTACTACAAGCAATATAAACTTATAATGAAATATGAATTTTTTTCAAAAGATGTGATTTAAAAGAGAAATATGCACCAGCTTCTACATAACAAGAAATGTTGAAAAAAAAAAATCAAGACTTTAATATACCAAAATGAATTGATGCAAATGCCCACTTTAAAATAATGAAATTGTTTAAGGAGAATTAGGGCCTCTGTTTTTTTTTTTTAAAATAAACACATTATCAAAGCCTCCAGAAATTATAAGAGGGAAACCACTTCAAACAAATATAGTTTACAATCTTGGGCTTTATTCTCAAATATGTAACTAAGATTAAATCCAGATTTTAAGAATTACAGGTAATCTGATTGGTTATTAAAACTAAATGTAAAATAAATTTTAGTGATTGACCAATCAGATGACTAGAATATTAAAATCTGCAAAGAATCCTAAATAAACAAGCCACCCTATGACATCGCGATCCAAAGGTTACATTTTGATAAAGTACCAAGATGAAGGACTCAAATTTCCTGGTCATAAATTGAAAGGTTAATAGGGAAAAGGAAATGGTTAAAATATATATTACGGAGTACAATCTATATTGAAACTTATACTGGAAATGTTGTTTTCTAAGGGGGAAGGGAAGGGGAGCCACACAGATAATGGGAAGAATGAGCTATGTTTGTGATACATGATATAGATACAAGAGTAGCCTTACTTATCTAATGGGAACAGTCAGCATTTTCGAGGATTGATTTGGGTCTTTGTTGTGCTTTAATAGTCTTACGAAGTACTAAAACGCACGAAAATCATATATTCCCTACAAACAAACCTCAAATTTCTGATATAAATATGGGTCCCGGAAACATGGGTTGGGGACAGGATTACCAGTACTTTGGGAGTTTTAAAACTTACTTGATTCTGTTCAGATCAAAAAGCAAGCAGCAAAAAAGCAAAAAGAACAAATTGTTAGTGCAGTAAAAAGCAGAACTCAAAATACCAGGGCTGTTGATTTGAAATCTTCATGTCACACATTACTCTCAAAAGTATTGTCAATTTATATTTGATTTCTTGCAAAACCAGTCATGATTGGTAAATGTAATCAAATCATCATACAGAAATCTAGTCAGACATTACTGGTAAATGCAGTCCAATCAACAGTCTTGAGCTCTAGTCAGACATGACTGGTAAATGCAGTCAAATCAACAGTCTAGAGCTCTAGTCAGACATGACTGCTAAATGCAGTCAAATCAACAGTCTAGAGCTCTAGTCAGACATGACTGGTAAATGCAGTCAAATCAACAGTCTAGAGCTCTAGTCAGACATGACTGGTAAATGCAGTCAAATCAACAGTCTAGAGCTCTAGTCAGACATGACTGGTAAATACAGGCAAATCAATAGTCTAGAACTTTAGTCAGACATGACTGGTAAATACAGGCAAATCAATAGTCTAGAACTTTAGTCAGATATGACTGGTAAATACAGCCAAATCAACAGTTTAGAACTATAGTGAGACATATAAAATCAAATCAACAGCCCAGGTACAAACTTCAACTACGCATTCAACTATCCTCATTCACACAGAAACACAAAGTTATAGAAAATTTATAAGCTGAAATCACAGAAATATTAAAATATTGGGTCCCTGATGATGGATTACATATCCTAAATGTGTCAAAATCATATTATGGTATATTTGGGTGAGTTGCTGGTCTTAAGGAGAAGACTAACTTTGATATGTGAAGAAAATGTTTTACACAAATACATGACTGTGTATGTTGGAATGTATGAAATATAATATATCAAATGATAAAATAATGAGACATTATCAAATGATTACATCAACATTTTAAGTTAAGTAATTCAATTCAATAATTTCTAGGTGTATAAAGAAAATTGTCCTGTTTATGTTAACTTGGATTGTATTTTAGTCATCTACAGTTTTGTTAAGAATTAGACAGTGGCGGAGCCAAAGGGGGGCAGAGGGGGCAGCCACCCCCCATCGCAGCCCCAAAAGCAAGTTAGAAATTCAGGCAATCTCAGATAATTTGCCCCCCCCCCTCGGATGTTAACCTGGTTCCGCCACTGGAATAAGACACAGGTATTTACTTTCAAAATGCCTCACAAATAATCAATTTCACAAACTGTCGCCATGCCAAATTAAAGGACATAAGCAACTTTTCTGAGAAAATTACCCCAAGACCCTAAAATCATTTTGAAGCAAGTTTTCAAGAAATTGCTCAATCGAAGAAATTCAGGCCACACTTTGTGAAATTGATAGAAGTATTTCAAATTACAGTCACTAAATTTTAGTCATATTGTCCAACTACTTTCATTATTATTGCACAAAGTCCATGCTGAAATTTGAAAAATGGTTACCACACGCTATCTCACTGCCGTCTGGGCTCGGAATTGGGTCTGATGGGAAAAATCACATTCAAATAACAAATTTATAACATTGAAAAGCAAGCCAGAGCTTTTCCTACTTTCGTTTTGCATCTTTGAACAGAATTTCAAATGATTTAAGATATTTTTGTGTGCTTAAAATTTCCGTTCAAAACTTGCAAAATCAAAAGAAGAAATACTTGGAATAAAAAGTGCAGAAACACAAAAAGTGAAATATCCGCAGACAATGAAGGCCAACAACAGCGCAGCAGCAAATATTGCCGGCACAATATCACCATCCCTTGAACCAAAATCATGCGAAAACAGCAAAATAACTCAACAGTCTGACTTCAATCAACATTTTTGGAAATTTCTTTTTGGAATATTTTCTTCAAGCAATGGCTGATATATTAAAATGTAGGACAAAAATCTAGTGAAATGAATCGACACTTCACCAAAAGATTAAAAACATTAACCATTTCTTTTTATGAATAGTATCTAGAATTACAAATCAAATGTTGGTATTATGGAGCATTTAGAATAAATTTAGTATTTGGAATTCAAAAATTATCAAATGAAATCATTGATCAAATAATTTCAATGATCACCATCTTTTTTATCGAAACCTTTGTTTATATATTTGTAAATAAAAAAAGTTTCCAATCGTGTTGTTTTTGTCAGACAAATTTTGTTTTTACGATTGACTCCACCTGTTGCGATTTCACTGCCATCAACGCTGGGAATAGGTTCTAAATAAAACACATTGAAATAAAATATACAGAAAACCAGCAAAATAAACAAAATTATGGCAAGAAATTAAGAAAAAGAAGCGAAAAATAAAATTAAATAAAAAAGAAATGTCACCGAAAATGATAAGATTGAATCATAAGAAAGCAAGAAAATGAAAATAAAAGAAATGTGAAACCCAAAAATGAAAATAATTAAAAATTTTATTATTTTAACATTTGACACTGGTAATAAATGTATTGACGGAAACTAAATACATCATAATAGGTACATACATAAAACAACGTTTCTATAGTTTACACTGCCATTAAATACAGTCTCATAATGTAATACTCCAAAATATTGTGCATAAGGTTTCATTAATTAAAACCATATATAGTATATACTAAGCTTTCATTCAAATTATATAGGCCATATTTTTAAAATAAAAATAAGAAAATAATCAAAGAAGTGTTAAACATACCTTGTGCTCCTAACATAGTAGCCTTGACTGTAGATAGAATCTTTAATTGTGTTCCAATGGTAGGAATTCTTTCACAAACTTGCAGTAAACTCTACAAATATATACCATATTTTTAATCACATGTAGAAAAGGGACAGAAATTTTGCCAGGAGAGTGCTCTAGCCTACTCTTTTTTTGGAAAAATTGAGCCAGAGAAGTGCTTTAGCTTGTCCAGGCTTTTTGAGATATGTGGTAGAACAGTGCATTAGTCCACTGTATTAGTAGAAATTTTACCAGACTGCACCATAGGCCACTCTTTTAAAAGATATTTTGCAATAACAGCCTCCATTTATTGTCACCTACGAGCAACTAGATGCTTTTTACTGCAACACTGACAGGGAGAAACCAATCAGTATTCATCTTGTAAGGTGAGTGAACTCAATTACAAGAATCACAAGAAGAATTAGAATGTTCCAAATTGAAGTCAAAGGTGTCCCCGATACACATAAGAAGGCCACAAAACCTCTTTACAAGCTCTTTAATGGGGCCATACCTCCATATGGGTGAGAAGAAATTCTTCAACTTACGTTTCTCATTTTCTTATCAGTACAATCGGACGCCAGCTTTTTAGCCAGTCGAGTGACTTCTGTAGACTGCATGGCGATTAATTTAGCTGTTTCTATTAATTCTTTCTTTGATCCTCCTTCACCTCTATAATACACAAATCATATTTACAGAAATTATTTTACTGGAGTCACCACAAAATATCAGTATATTTAATATATTTTTAGTTTTAGTGAAACTGTAAGATCTATTGATACCTGACTGGAAAATGACTGCCACAAATGAATTACACATACATCATTGTATCCCATGTACATAATAACTTTTGAAAATCCTTAAAAGCAAATTGTGATCCAAATTGCCTTTTCATAACTAATTTTAGTTATAACAACCTTACCTGACCAGTTGACTGAGTTTAGCCATGAGTAGCGCCATCTTTTTAGCAGCCGTGATAATTTCGTTGTCTTTACTGGACCATTGTTTAGCTTCCATATGTAAAGCATGTGCTGCCATCTTTAAAATAAAATGTAAAATCCCTAAATGGATTGGTTTTTTAAGAATTTCCAGTAACTGAGTTTTGCATCCTACTTTTCTGTTCTGAATAAGCCTTGAAATAGCATTATCTTTTGATGGATCTTTATCATGCAGTTTGTTAAACAAAGATCCTTACTTTATAATCTTTTTCCTTGTCACTTACCTCTCTCGAGAGGTCCACTTTTATCTATTTTCATTTCTGAGATATTGTTTATCGATTTTGTCCTGTCAATGGATGTTCCTACTGGCTTTGAGACTTTGGTATTCTTTTGTTTGGTTTTAAGAAGATCACAGTTTAAACAGAACCTTATTTGGCAATCCATGACTCAAAAAGTATTAAGAAAAAGGTAACATACCATGATGGGCTGATTGGCCTGTGGGATGGGGAAATCTTCCTCATCATCTGTATCTGGGGGTGGAGGCCTGGGTGGGGCCAGCTCATGAGGTAATGGTGGTCGGGGTGGGGCACTGTCTGAAATTATATAATGGTAATACATTTAAATACATGGCGTAGCTAAGTTGTGTGCTGGGATGGTTTTTTTATATTTCACAGAACACAGTTGATTTGACAGTCAAAGAATTTCTTTAAAATGTCTTAAAATACAACAGAAGTGTGAAAATAATGCCAAACAACAATGGCTATCTAGTGCCGACTATGAGTGCTGAGTTGATAATCTCAATAAAGAATAGCCATTATTTGCTATGAAAGGAAAGGAATGCCAAGTTGACCAATCCAAAGACCAAAGAGTCATAATTGTTATGTAGACTCTCTGAATGTCAAGTTGACAAACCATTATACCAAACAACAACCATTAGCTCTGTTGAATGAAAGGGATGTTGTGTTGACAAACAGTTCTAGGCAGCACCAAGAGTGCCTTCTAATTTGGTCCTAAAGGTAGATTCAACAGCAATTGTGAAACCTGTTTTGCACTGATAATCTTCAGATTCCTACAAGCACAAGTAATTTTTTCATTTCATACTATTACATATTCATTCGTTAATTCTAACACATGCTGAAAAAATATTAACAAAAAATAATACCACTCTGAAATAAAATAGTTAGTTTCACACAATTTGGTAGACATCTGAAAATGAAATAAAAATTGAAATGTTAGTTACAACAACAAGAATGCAGGGTGAAAATATAGTTCTATATTTAATCTTGTTAGTTCTTAATGGTAATTTTCTCATCCATATACAGTATATTTCAAGTATTTCTGAATGAACAATGTTGTAGGTGTGAATTCGATATTCATTTCATATTTCTCAAGGTTAGAAAATGACAATCTCCTTAATTTCAGTTGATCCAACCTAAAATCTATAATTTTCATTTGGTTCACCTTATTTCCATTTTTTTTTAAACAAGGTTCAGAACTCTGATTTACATTTTAATTTCAACAGTTTTTATTTTTGCAAAAGAATCCGAAGTATACCAAGTTGTTGGAATTTTCAACTTATTTCAAAATCCATGATTATTCAAATTACAGAATGATTGATAAAGATATCACGTAACATTGTTTTGGGTTAGTTTGAAGTTATTACAATATTGGTTATAAATCTGTAAATATACTTTTGTTAGCAAAATCATAATTAATGGAAACATCCTCTGGTCATTTTTGGGGGGTTTATTTCATTTTTTTTTCAAAAATTAGACAAAATTCTAGGTTATTCTAGGTTACTTTTATTGATGTCCCCAGGGTGTTTCCATAATAATTTTATTGTTAGAAATATTTTGAACAAACATAATATCTGTTAGCTTTATCATAACTTCATTGTGTTAGCAAAATCATGGACAAAAATGAATTAAAAAAACTAAAATAAAACTAAAACTAAAAAGAAATCATAAAATATAGTATTAGATTTTTGAGGTTGGGATTTTTTTTCGAGCTTAAAATTGAAAGATAAGAACCTCTTAGACCATAATGTTGTTGAAAGCCAAATTCCTCCATGGGGGGTGGGGGAATGGCTGGGGGTGGGGGTGCCCCAAATTGTTGACTCTGTAAAGAAGCTGAAAGAAATATTTTTCAAAATTTATGAAAAGTTTCAAAGATGTTAGTTATAAGTACATGTAATGCAAAACCTAAAATTGGATGTTACTTTTACGTTTCGAGGCAAATAGAACTTTGAGGGCCACTAAACACATCAATTTAGGCTAAACCATGTCAGCCCCTCCAAAATGACAGAAAAAATCTGGGTTGAAGCAACTTGTTTAAGATAAAAGCAAATTTTTTGAACAGGTCTTAAACTTTCTTTGTAAATTTTTTCACTTTAAAGTCACCCTTGACCGTAACATATAAATATATTGACCATAAAATTATACCATAGCCCAAAATAATTCACAAAAACCAAATATAACAAAAACCTTGTAATAAAAAAAAATATATTTTACTACCAATACCAAAATTAATAAAAAAATTGACAACAAAAAACAAGACAATAACCGAGGGTGAAATAAAAAAGAAACTGAAAGTAGGAAATGAAAATGAAAATGAAACGAAATTGAAAATGAAAATGAGAGAATACCTTCGTTCATACGATTAAAATTTTCTTCATGGGGCATTTCACCTGGAACTTGGTAAAAATAAGAGAAATGATGTTAATAGATTGACAGAATTGATGATAAACATGAAATAAGATGCTTGTCAAGAAAAAAGACAAATAAATGAAGAAACATATGATTAAATCAGGTTAATTAACAAGACTTTGTGGTACATCATCTGTCTCATGTAATGACTGTGAGTAAATTTCTGATAAAATTGGCCATAATTAGCTGCCCATGCATTCAGGTGGCATTTGTTATTGAAGCCAACTCATTGGCTGGCCAATTTAACAACCAATTATCAAGGGGGATAATTGGTCCATAGCTAGTTTGTGCTCCAACCATTTGATGCCAGGGGAAATAGACCACAGCCAAATGACAGAAGCTGTAACCATTTTGCAACACTCTATTGTAGCAATTAATACTGACAAACTGTCAAACTGCACAGGATGGTTTTCAAGACTGAAATATAATCTTGAAAACAGTCTCAATAACAATCAGCAAACACAAATAATACAAATGCAAAATAACAACACCACACAGGATCACGACACAGGGAATTCTTTCAAATTAACAGGAGGTGGGAAGATTTAAGGCAGCAGAAGGGAGCAAAATTTACTTCTGGATAGGGCACAGGCGAATAGCATTCACATGGCATTTCTGGTGTAACATTAAGTACCGGTAGGTCAAAATTTTAAAAATATTTCATAGGGCCAAAATATTCAACTCAACAATAAACAAATTTTTCAGAAAAAATGGGGATCAAAATTGATTTTTTTCAAAATGTATGCATAAATATCCAATGCAGAATATGCTCAAATTGCCTTCAACAGTCGTCATAGCAACTACTACCTTTAGCTAACACTGTACGACCACTACGACTGTCAACCTCTATGGAAATCGGATCCGAGTGAGGTGACATTGGGGACTGTTGTCGTAGCGATGCCGCAGGTATGAAGAATATTTGAGAAGATTGTTGCTGTTGTGGAGCCTGTTTTTTCGATTGCTGAGGCGTAGAATAGTAATTTTGCTGCATTGCAGACCCCTGTATATATTGATGTTCGGCACCTCGTTGAAATTTTTGCTGCAGAGGTGTTTGATGATATTTTTGCTGCGGAGGTGACGAATACAACCATGGTGCTATTTACGTTAAAAGAATAAATTAGAATTCTTCTAAATAATTTCATAAACCAAGGACAAATGGATAAGTTTAACTCAAACTAAATCTCCAATATCATCCCTTATAAAAGTATAAGAAAATTTTGAGGGTAAGGGTGCTTTCAGAAAACAATCAAGTTATTTTCTATAATAAAATACATGAACAAAAGCCATCCTGGTTCTAATACAAAGCACAAGAGTTTCTAAATCTAATTTCAAAAGTCATAAAAGTTTCAAATAGATTTCTAGCAATTTAATATTTCAGTCCAATGTTATCTAACATTTTTAACAAGAGCAATAAATCTGTAACTATGGAAGATTCCAATTAAGCTTATATTGTTAATGTCTTTAACACATTTTTGAAAATATTCTTTGACTTTCACATCTCCAAAAGGATCTTTTAAACATAAATGTTTATTTTCCAAGTGTTAAACACTGAGCTGACAATCAATATTCAATTTTAGTGGCATAGATTACAAGATTATCTGACTATTGATTTCTCTGAAAATTCTAGGGTCAATATTCATTGTTTGAAGACATATTGCCAAGAGTGTTGTTAATAACCATTTGAAGTGAAATATGTAAAAGTAAGCTAGAATAAAGTGGTGAAGCAGTATAACAAGTAGAATAATGTAAATAATAATTACCTGCTATATGAAGTTGAGAGAGATCTGGAGGGGGTGGGGGGTAATTCTCCACTGAATCTTTCGTATGTTCTGAAACACATTGTCTTACTTGTCCCACAGCATCCAATAACTGAAATGAAATAAAAGTTGATGAAAATAAATGATGAGAAATGGTTGTTTTTATTTTTAAAGTGAATGTTAAGGGTACATTTTCCAATTTACTAGATCTTATCTCATTCTGTGTACATGTGTTTGGGATATATCATCCTCATGAGAACAACCAGTACCAAACTCCTCTAATATCTAATTGACTAAACTTATCCTGTGCTGACAACGTGTGTTTTGGATACACAATCCTAAACAGGACAGCTGGTTTTGAAAATGAGGATTAACTTTAAAAGAAAAGTAACTAAAGAGGAGTGAGGGGCTGACACTGAGAATCTCTACAAAAGGAGATATAACTTACAGCTTGGTTAGATTTTCTCCAGTTGGCAGCAGCGTTGGCATCTCGAGGATTCATGGCCAAGTTTTTAGCATTCTGTAACATTGGTGCAATAGCTGAAAATATACCAGTTCGACATGTAAATATTTACTTATATCAACTGATAGACAATATACTTGTTAATTTTCATTATTTTTCTAAAGATCATTGTCAAAAATGTCTGTGTATGAAATCTGGTAGCCTTGAATAGGACTCAATGTCCATCGTTAGATTTATTCTCATAATTTCAGAGATAACCTGGTAAAAAACGAGGCAAAAAGATATTTCTTGGTGAAAATTTCTGACCTTAAAGCTATCGTAAGAAATTTTGTGACACTGGACTAAAAAGTAATCCGCATCTAGAAAATCAAAACCATTTTCAAATCTTTCCAATCCAGCATATGGAAATTACTTACATTGTTTAAGATTTTGAGAAGCAGCATTGACTCGAGCTAAAAACTGGGGATCTTCGCTGTTCTCAGCCTCTTGTTGAGCTACCTGTAAAATACGGTTGGCTCGTCGGGCAATATCTCCTGTATTGTTGACTATTTTTGGTACATCACCAGATCTTATTCCTTCTTCTATTCTGTCTGTATCTTTACTGATAGCTTCCTCTATAATATACATAATATTGTCATCAGTGAATGTGCATGTTTGCAATGACCTAGTTCTCACATGTATGCGCTCTCCTGCTATGGCAAGTTTGCGATAAGTATCAGAAGTAATATTGCACCAAATAACAAACTATCTAATTCTAGCAAGTTAGGATTAGTAGATCTATAATAGTGTTCTTTATTATCTAATATTCTGTGTACTTTCAAATATCATTCTAGGATTATATTCTGGACGTATCTCAGTTTAATTCAGCAACAACCTAAATATTCACTGTACCTTCAGCTTTAATAAGAGCAGCGGAATCTACAGCCTCATCCACCAGGAATCGCAGCCTTTCCATATTGTCTGTCCATTGTTTCTTAATCAAATCAAAATGTTCCTGGGCAGCCTGGTTACCAGGGTTACAGAATAAAACTCTGGCAGCGTTAATTACTTGTGGGGTCAAATCCTTAATCTAAAAAACACAAGACAAATATTAATATCTGTGATGAATTCTCCTATTCAATTCAAGATGAACCTTTTTAACTATTCTCCTTTCATTGTATTTAACATTTAGATTTAGGTTAAGATTACAACTTAGATATTTGTATTGTTCTTTTGTTAAAGACAAGTGAGATGAAATCTAACTTTCCTGCTCTAGATCATGTAAATGATGAAAGGCAATGTTTTGTGCACTTAAGAAAACATTTTTCCCCAGTTTTGGCTAATGATAAAAGACAATAATCTTTTCTGTGCAATAAAATAAGGAAGCTTTTCCATGATTAGGCCATTAGCCTACTCTTTTTGGTACTAAACATGTACCTGTTAACAATTACAAAAGATGGACCTGTTAACAATTACAAAAGATGTCAGAAAATCAGAAAAAGATTTCGAACCTGTTTAGAATTAGCAAAGATTTCTTCCACAGTTTTCTTGTTTCTACACCCACCAGCTGTTGCTACTAGAGTAGCTGTATCTGCCAGTTTACAGGCATGGGCTTGGAAATTACGAGCTTTCTCATCAAAATTAGCATCTCTATTAGGTGAACCTGAATAAAAATAGGTAAAAAATCATTTTTGAAGCAGTCCTCAGAGGAATATTTGTTGATTCCCAGTTTTTCAAAATATTAATTTTTTTTTAGTTCATCCAAATTCTTAATTTCACAACCATTTTTAATTTTAAGAGTTTTCTTAATTTTCTTAATAAGATTAGTCCAATTATCATTATAACTCATATTTGGGTGCCTTTACTTCATGACATGACATGAATTTGTGTATTTGTTGACCCTTTCATGCATAATAATGGATTCACTATAAAGGAAGTAGAAAAAAGAAGACCAACCTGGAGCTGCGACAGCTGCCTCTGTTAGTTGTTTTAATGGAGTTGAAATATCAGTAAAATCTTCAGCTACCTGTTAACATAGTTACACAGTAAAATGAAATAAGTTTTGCATCCTACTTTACTGCACCTGATTGGGCAATGCCATGCAGTGTGCAATGAAGGAAATTTTGCTTTGACAGCATCAATCTTTCTCTACCCTTTGATTTCCTGTTGACACAGTCTGTAGCACGCAGGGCCTAGAATTATTGTTTCTCCCAGGGACTAAACACAAATTTATGTCAGCTCCTCAGACCTACATAACTGACAAGGGGGAAATCGTGACCTAAACTAAAACAAACATTAGTAGCTATGTGGACTCTCTGAAAAAGACACTAAGTTGACAGACCAGTTCGAAATTCCATTAAATATTTTAATCCATCTTGACAAATGAAAAATCCCTGTACATACCTGACTGATAAGAGCATCTCTAATCTTAAGTTTAAGATGTTGTAGTTTATCTGACATGTGTCTGGCTACAGCAGCAGCTTGAGGACTGTTACCCTGTAAATATATAATATAAATCATCTAGAATGGAATTGTTGATGTTTTCTCAATCATTCTTACCACTCAAATCAGTCATTGTATCTAGCACAGTTCTCTGTGGCTAGAAACATCCATGTTGGAACTTTTATGCTCAGTATAGAGTCGCATTAAAGATAAAATTCAAAAAGATCTGCTCTAATTCGATCATAAAGATTCTTAAATTACATACCATATTCTTTTTACACATATCTGCCAGCTGATTGGTTAATATTTCCACCTCGTCACATGACCGTAATAATTCCTGTCGTTGTGGTCCAGTACAACACTGGGCAACACGTCTCCCTTCAGCTACTACTAGTCTTGTGGCTTGTTCACCTATACGATACAAATCATTGGAATGGAGTTTCACACATCCCATGTATTTTGTTAATATACAAATTATTGGAATGGAGTTTTACATCCTACTGATATAAACCTTATTGGACTTATGGAATGAAATGGGCATATTTGATTTGACAGCAGGCAAAATCTCATGAAATGGATTTTTCATTCAGCAGTTTTTTACGAAGTGGTGAGAATATGTACTCTAGGAATAGCAAACTCAATTGTAAACAGACGATCTATAGAAAATTATCAAAACTGGTCTTTGGTTGTGCTGAACCTATCAAAAATCTACCAAAACCAGTGTAGTTAATTTAAGGTTTAGATCTACCTTTTTTTCTTTATCAATTCAAACCCTAGCTTCACCAAATCAAATAAATATACACGAACCTAAACCATTGTCGTTGATTCCTGGATTGGCCAACCATTGACGAGCTTGTTCAATCTTGCCGTCAACAGTTGGGGCTGGTTTACGTATACCACTTCTCTCAGTGTTCATAATACCCCGCTGTGTCAGGTTCTGTAAGGCATCTAGTTTACCCTGGATCTCTCGAGCTAAACCTAATGCCTGTGGACTGTTACCCTAAAATATAATAAACAGTTCACACAGCATATTTCTAACTTTCTCGCTTTTTTTCATTTTTTTGAGATTTTAATCAGATAATGTATCAAAATACAGAGATAGGCTGCTTTAAATGAATTTCGAAAAAAGGGTGTTTTTGATGGCAAGGACTCAGATAATATCAGTTATTAAAGAAGTAGAGAACAACAGAGAGAAAAAATGCCTGATTCTAGAATTTGATAATTCCACTGTATGCCAGGTATCTTACCTTGCCCTGTATTCTAAGTTCAGATAGTGCGTTGGCCATGGATTCCACATCACCAGCACATTTCATAATGGCATCGCGATCTTGAGGGTTGGTACATCTCTCAGCTATCTTCTTGGCATCTTCCAGGATATTACGTAACGCCTTGTCACCTATTAGGGAATAAATATAAATTTGAAAGATTGTCAACATATCATTAGAACAGATAAGCATCACTTTTGCAATAGTAGGCCTACATTCCTACAGCAAAAAAGCCCAAGATAGAAATGAACAGACAGACCAACAAAAAGTGTGTCAATAATATACAGCCAAACTTCTAGGTGTATAATAATCAAAAGGATATGTCAAAAACAAACAAACAGACTGATGAGCAAATAAATGTTCAAAGTTTATATAGCCTACATCACAACGATGGTGTAAACGTATCAAAATAAATCAAGGACTGCTAACTGTTAATCTATGCAAGTCAAATAAACAATCTTGAATTCAAATAGTAAAAATAAAAATTGAACTCACCAGCACTACCAACTAAAGCTTTAGGATCTTTCAACCAATCCTGGGCTTGCTGCATTTTACCTTCAATAGCATTCTACAACAAATATTATACAAATAATTAATTTCTCCTTTAAACTAAGCCATGATTCCATTGGAGTTCTGAAGATGACCTTGCCAGCCAATCAAAATCTTAGAATTTCAAGTAAGAACAGTAGTTGCACTTTGGCCTTTCATGGAATTCAGGTATTGACAGTACCTGTGATTTTTTCATGACAGTCAAATCATCAGCATCCCATTCATCTTCATCATAGGTTGTCAATAGCAACACTCGAATAATCTCATGGATTTCATCAGACATCTTGCGTACCACATAATCTCGGTTATTCTGAGCTTCATTAAAACCTAGATCTAAAATACAATTATCATTATTATACTTGGATGATATTTGTCAATTTTACAAAGTTTTGTCAAAATACAGGGTTGTGTCTCAGCAATTAAAGAATTTTAACAGTTTGCAATGACTAGAGAATACCTTTATTAACCAAAGTTTATATGGTGGTACAAACTCTCAGAGGTGGTTGGATGAAAGTGGGGTTAAGGAACTTATGCCAAAAAAATTCGTTTCAGACAAAAAAGATAAGTGAGTCAAATACTTACTGTTGGCTTTAGCCGTGATAAATATTTTGATACCACTGATTAATACAGGTGTGAGGTTTTTCACCTGGTCTAACGAGCGTTTTAACATATCACGATGTACAATATGAGTTAACTCTTCTTTACGATTATCAACCTCCTTCATCATCTTTGTAATAACTGGACTTAGATTCTGAAATTACAAATTTATATCTTAAATACCTGGTGTAAAATCCTTCGAGGGGTTTCAGATAGGGGCAGGCTGAATTAATATGGGGACAACTGTCAGAAAAAATGTCTTGCCCTCCTAAAAAATTCTGACAATCGACAAAAGACCATACCCCATCTCCCCTCCGGATACATTACCTGCCCCTCCAAACAATCAAGCCTGGTTACAGGCATGAATTTATCATGAAGACACAACTAATGTTTGATATTGCCAAATTGCGCACAATTTGTACGGGTTTTTTTTTTTACACAATCCTCTTGACAACCTCTTCAACTTACGGAAGCAAGACCCAAATCTTCCTTCTAATCAAAACCTTCTAAGGGATTTACCTTGAGAAAAGAAGTGAAGTCCCTGAACAGGAACATCCTATCAACTTACCTTAACATAAGTAACAAGATCTTCCATTCGTTCAACAACTTCAGTGATAGCCAGATATTCCAACACATTTTTACAAGTTCGGATAATTTTCCTGACTTCTGATTCATCAAATGTTAACAACAGAGATGATGTCCCTTGTAATATACCTAGAATTAAAACACAATGTTTTTCTCATAGCATTGCAATTGTTTCTGTTAGTGGGTAAATAAACTTACAATATAAACAGTGTCTTAGCTATGTGAACTCTCTGAAAGGGATGCCGAGTAAACAAACCCAGTTCCAGAAAGGTATCAGGTATTTCAGTAAGGGTTAATAGATATACCAAAAAAACAATATTAGCTATTTGAGCATGCCCTGTCGACCATCAACAATTAATCAACAATTAATCAACATAGCTGATAGACAGGAACCTCAAAGACCTTCTTTTCTATTTATGCAAATAAGAATGTTCTTTCAAGAAATTCATAATCAGAAAAAACTTCTTGGCAGATCAAAATGACAAATTTTTAATCTTTGACAAAAAAATGTCTACCTCTAGAGCCCTCAATAAGCTTTTTTCTAGCTGGACCAGAATAAGGATCAGCTCGTAACATATCAGATGCTTGTAACAAGAGTAAGGATGATTCATCCACACGTCGTAAAGCTGGTGGCATGTCTTGTTTTAATATCTGATCATCACTTGAATTGATTGTCTCATATCCAACCTGGAAGGAAAAAAATACATGTTATATATATATATCATGTGACAAGACATATGTGCTATATATAATGAGTAATGCACTCAGTGAAATCATCTCTTTTCGAGGACAAGCTCAGCAGAAAGTATATAAATTGTAGATTCCTAATTTTCCAAAAAATGTTGTAGGTATCTGATCCAAAATCCTTTTAGCTAATTGACTGGATTAATCTAATTATTTTTACAGATGTCCTACCTTAACAAGATTGTCTACAGCTATTTTAACAGTTCTGACTGGCTGAGCCAGATCAGGCATAGCATTTCCATCTTCTGCTTCCTCATGGAGGATCACTAACATAGACACCTGAAAATAGAGTCAAAATATAATTAAAGTATATCACAGATATAAAAGGTGCTAAATTAAATCACTGATTTTACTGAAAATCACTTATTAGATTCAATGTATTTTTCCCAAGAAATGTTTAAATAATTCATTAGTTCAACACACATTTTATAAACGTTTATCAAGACCCAATTCCATTTTCATGACCAAGCCCAATTTCTAAGACTAAAAATGCTTTATAGAACATTCAAAACCATGTGTGCACCTGTTATCATGTAATTTTAAGATGCACACTTTTTTGTAAGGATTGTCAAGACTTAAATCCATTTTCATGACCATACCAATTTTCAAAAAAATGAAATGAAAGGAGTTTTACATCCTACTTTTCTGCACAATACCCATTTTCAAGGTCACACATATTATAAGACCACAACCATTTTCAAAACCAGGTACAATTTTAATGACCACATGCATTTTTAAGGTCTATCAATTTCCAATCATTTATTGGGACTGTGTATATTCAGTGTTATTCAATCATTTAACTGTTATATAATTTCATAACCAGACCTCATCAAGGGGAAATTACAATACTAATTTCTATAAACCATGTATGTAATAATAATCAACAATTGTAAGTCAATTGTAATGTAAACCGGATATAATGATATTAACATGCTTATACTTTGTTAACTTGTTAGTACTTGGCTTAAAATCCTCAACTTATCCTCTATTGCATTCTATATTTATCTCTGGCAGCAGATCCCACAACCTAAATTCTTATATTTTCAGATTCTAAAGTATGTGGATTTTTATTTCATATATTCAAATGATATCAAAAACTAACTGTACAAACAATTCTCTCTCACTAGAGGTTAAACCTGCATGCCTGTGCCTGTGCGTGTGCTTTCGCAACATTACTTAAACACAATCTTACAACCTAAAATTCCTAAACCCCTAAACACAAGAAACCCTCACTCAGTAAATACCAATCCTGTTCATATATATTACTACTGTCTAGTTATAAACCTCTTTATAGGGCCATCACCCATTCAACCCCACCCCAGTCCTCCAGCATCAAAAACGCCCCTAGATAGCAGTAAAACTCCAACCTGTTTAAATATATTACTGTTAACTATAAATCATCCCAATATGGCCCCACTCCTCCCCCCTGCTTCTCTCCAACCTGTCCTTATATATTACGAGCTATAAACCTCTTGATATGGCCACCACCCATTCAAACCACCCTAGTCCTCCAGCATCAAAACCCGCTCCTCAGTAGAGCTCCAACCTGTTTAAATATATTACTCATCCAAATGTGCCCCCCCCCCCCCCTTTCTTCTCTCCAACCTGTTCTAATATATTACTGATATCTAGCTATAAATCACCAACATGTGACAACCAGGTAACTAGATCTATTTATAGTAACATTACTAGCACTAGGTTCAGTAGGCCAGATTCCAATAGTAACTAGTGGCATTGCAGGATGGTTCCAATGATTTATCTAACCAAATATTAACAGTATTTTTCATGGATAATGCACCCTACAGAGTCAAAATATTATGATTGAGTGGAAAGGATAATACAATACAAGAATTTATATACTACACAACACTACAATGAGTGTCTATACAGTTTCACTTTTTTTTTCATATGCATTTTTTTTTAAAGAATTTAGCTTCTTACAGACTTGAATTCTTTAGTAATACTGGGTAATAGGCCTAGACAATTCTCCATATCAAGGGAGGAAACGGGGGTAATATATCCATGGGTATTATCCCGTGCATTGAAGTCAGTAAACTGTTAAAAAAGAACCCAGCATGTAAGAAGCAGCAAGGTACAGATTAATTAGTAGTATATAGTAGTAGAGAGAAGTAAGGTGGAAGGAAGTACCACTGAGATAAAAGATAAATCTCTACAGGTGATCTGTTAGTAATAGGTTAGAGTTCACGATTACTGTGGAGGGCAGAAGACATCAGAAGAAGACTTTTTTTCTTAATAATACTTGAAAATATCATTTATGAGCCTGAATTTCATCTTGCTACATTTTGATTATAAAAAACAAGGCCATCACAGCCCAGAGAAAGCTGACAGTCAGTCAATTATGTAATTGGTACTAATGTCTACAGGTACTCTAACGATGTATTTACTATTTGTAGCCACTCTGTCTACACTACATTACAGACTACCTCTGGACTGTAAGTACTAGTAAAAATCACAGTCCATGGCTGAACTATACTGACAGTGTTCACTTAGAAAATTTTGCCAGTACAGTGCCCTACATTTTTGCGATTAATGACAGGGGATGCAAGGAGATATCACGCTTTATCTTGAAAGTATTGTCCATGCTATCAGAATTTTATTTAATTTAATGGGAATTTGAATCCCGAGCACCTAATTGCCTAACAGACAACATGAGAAAAGAAACTGAAGGTTATGTTTGTATGTCATTCTGTCAGTGTACAATATGTGGAATTTCTATTAGATACAAGATAAGATATCACACTCGTAGGTTAACCCTCAACAGTCTTAAAATTTCTGACTTCTTTCCTTTTGAATTTCCCACAATGACTAATCATATTAATGCTTCTTATTTTCTTATAGATACATGAAAAGGTTTTGTTTCACATTACAGGTTTTATCTTTAGATGATTAATGATATATCAGAAGAATGTTGACGTTATATTTTGAACTATTTTAGCTAAAGAAATGATACTACCACAGATAGTATTACAGAGACATCCATGGTTAAGATATCTAATTATCTTAACCTTTAACTTGCGCCTTCTTTAATCATAAATCTTTAATTTGTGACCTAGGCCAGTGCTTTCATGAGACTATGTTCTCATCACCATCTAACTCTAATGTTTGCATACCTAAAGGTCCAGGGTTCAATCCCGGCATAGGTCAAGATGATACCTTCAGAATTTTCAACCCAGTTTCCCCCCTATCAGTGATGCAGGTAAGAGGGGCTGACATGGAAAAAGCATCTAGTCGTCAGATGGGACAATAAACCGAGGCCCCTTGTGCTACAGGCTGTGCACGTTAAAGATCCCTCAACAGTAGGAAATCGCAAAAAAAGAGCAGGCTTATGCCACTGTCCTGGCAAAATTTCCCTAATTGTACCCTGCATGGTGTTGCCCATCTTCATAAGCCCAAATGGTGCAGAAAAATAGGACGTAAAACTCCATTCATTTCATTTTCTAATGTTTGCATTTAGTTCTGTCAGTGTACAATAGAGAGAAGTTTCTATTAGATAAAAGAAAAGAAACCACAGTGTAATGTTTATATATAGTTGTATATATTTCTTACTACTGTTTATATATTCTAGATTTTATCAGGGTTAACTGGTAGATTATGATATAAATAATATCAACCTCTAACAAGTGGTTTCTACCCGGTTCTCTCCATCTTCACAATGTCAAGCTTTATCTTACACTCTGACTGCATCATGGAAGTTTCTAAATGCAGTGCATTGATTGGACTGTATGTTTGTGAATACAGCCAATCAGAGCCCTTAAGGTCTGTAAGCCATAATTTCTAAAGTATTTAACAAGGGCTCTGATTGGCTGTATTCGCTAGCGTACAATCCAATCCAATTGCTGCATTCTGTGATACAAGAAAGGTGGCTATAGCTGTTAACGTATAAGACTCAGTTCAATATAGCTTGACATCGTAAAAATGGTTTCTCTCATGCTGTACATCATACTATTCAGTAAGTAAAATTTTCTAAACTAATGAAGACAAGCAACATCATGCATTGTGCAATGAAGGAAATTTTGTGATCCCATGACAGAGATGACCTGGACTAGTGCTCAAGAATGTTGATTTGAATACATTTACCATGTATAAATAGGGCTCTGGAGTGTTGATTTGACTATATTTACCAGTCATGTCTGAAAGAGCTCCAAACAAAATAAGCAAGTATGATTGAAGAGTGACTTTTATATACGGTATATTATATAATCTTCAATGGGACATTTAAGAATGGGCAATTTTATGAATTTTCACAACAATAATGACATGCTACATTTGTTGACTGAAAAGAATGACTCGTCAACTATGACACTTTTACACGCCCAAATAAACCCACGAGTGTATAAAAAAAGGTGTTTATAGAAAACTTGTGGTTTTATTCATCAGTCACAAAGTTCCGCAAAGTCCCAGTTTGTTATCAAAATGTCCATAGTGACAACGTTGTTAATGAATATAAATTTGTACATTTTTGCAAAACGGGAAGTTCTACAGCTACACATGTGCAAAAAGTGAATAATTGGCTTTAAAAGTCGCATTTTTAGGTCGATTTTCTTTGGGTCTTCATTTTTGAAATCAGCATGTTATTTCTGATTTAAAAAAATCAAACATTTGTTGCACACATTTTTCGGCTGAATTTTGCCATTTTTTTCCAAAAAAAAAAACTTTTTAGCTTTTTGTCTGATTAATCTAAAAAGATTTAAGCAAAGACAGTTCATGAAAGTCAAATTTTTTACTTCTCTTCCGGTTTAAACGGCAAATCGATTCTCACTTCCAGTTGAACTACTTCCAGTGTAACTTAAAGCAAAATTGAAATTCGTACTTTTTTGATATTTGAGTGTTTTTTACAATATTTTTGTCTCTTTGAGCTTAGTGTATGTATATCTTGTCACCTATTTGACCTAATCATGACAAAAAAGTTCAGGTGGGCGTGGCACATCTGGGTTAAATTGCTAATTGTTCAAATCTGGGGCAGGGGCACAACTCGCATAGTTTACATTTGTTTAAAGAGGGACTTTGCACATAATTACCTCATGTCTTTGGCCAGATTGTGTTAACAGCTCAGTTGTTTCAGCTTTATAGTTCCAAAAAAGGAACGAGTTTTAGAATTTCCATATTTTCAATTTTTGACATTGACCTTTGATGACGTTAACATTTGTAGGGTCAATGGTCATTGACCTTGGTTATCTATTTATATTTCCATATTTGATGTCCTACGTAAGCTTCCGGTTTTGTAGCCGTATGCATTTTGAAAGTTTGATGAGTTATAT